TTCATCTAAATTAAACGTCAATATGTTGTAGTCTACACTTCACAAATATAAAAATATACATTATATAAATAATATTGAGTTTTATTTGTACGAGCCTGAAATGGAGGAACGTTTGTCTCTTGAGTGGTTATGCAAAGTATTAAGTTTGTGTATATAATATATATGACTAATTACTTAACTGATTAATTTGGTTTCATTAGTTAGGAGTGTCTGAAACCAAACCAAACAAACCACCTAAACCAAACAAGTTAAAAAATTTAACCAAACCAAACCAATTATCCAAATTAATCAAATCAAACTATCCAAATACTACCGGTCATAACGGTTACCACGGTAATTACTCCATTTGAACATCCCTAATAAACGACCACTTAATAGATAATTAAACTGAAGGCAAACTCGTTACATTTTAATATTAGAAGGGTATGTTTGTGCCAAAAATTAATAAAAAAGTACGTTTGGTAATTTGCAATAGTAGAGGGTAGAAAATGCTATTAGTATTTGGAATACACAATTCTATGAAAATATATGCTTTTTCTACTCTCACATTCTACAAGTAGCTAACTAGGAGGGTGAAAACTTAGGGGGTCCTTTGGATGAGGAATTCTAATGGTTCAATTTGACCCAATTGTTCAGTCTGAGACAATCTGACCAAATTGATCCGTTTGACAGCATAAAATTTAGATGAAGCAATTATGTTTGAGGAATTTCAAATTGACTCGTTTTGAGACAATTACAATTGTCTGGGATGGGGGCAGACAATTTGAATTGACTCGTTCTTATTGAATTATTTTGTAAAATAAGCGGTCATTTGGAAGTTGCGATTGTTTAATATAGATGTATAGTTGTGAATGCATGTATAATATATATATATATATATATATATTGTCGAATTTGAATCATTATAAAATATAACGTTTGATATGTGTGATTGTGTATGTCACATCAGCTAAAAACTGAGACACAACAATCTCAACTCAACTATCTCAACAATCACAGCTAAAAGTTGAGATATAACAATCAATCATTTTGAGTGATAGTGTCTGTTATATCACAGAAACAATCCATGTATTATTTCTGTTAAAAATTTGAAAAAACAATGTATTTTAAACAATAAATGTATAGTAACAAATTCCACCAAAACAATTACAAATTTCAAAAAACCACTAAAACAATTGATCAAATTGTCTCATTTTTCAATTGATTTATCCGTACCATCCCTAGTTTATTTAGGTAAGTAATTATATTAAATGAATTAAACTGGACTCGTTCTTCCACCCGAAAAGATAAACGAGAAACACAAATCCGAAAAGGACGGTGGAGATTCGATGTGTCCTCGTCACTGGAAAAGTAAGGGCCGATCCGATGTGGCTACACCTGCGCGGGAATCGGGCTGACGTGCCGAACTCCCCAGAGTTGGTAAGGCTATTACTAAGCGCCGCCGCTTCTCTTCTCTTCCACTAGCGACGGCGGCGACAGCCCTATCAATCAAATCCTTTTTAACTGCCAACTAGAGCCTGCCACTTTCAGAAGTCCGACGAAGCTGGCAGAAGCGCCGACATCCAACCAACGGTCGGATCCCAGTTATACCCTCACAATCCTCGAGTAAGTAAGTCCGTCTCTGTTTCATTCTGCATCCCGGTTGGCAGTTCATAACGATTGATATTCGGAAATGGAAATCTGATTGCAAGAGAACAAAATTGACATTCTGATGACCCTTTTGCTCTTCCTCCTCTCAGCGTTTTCATGGAGCAGCAGGTCGGCCGATTAGTTCAAATTCTATGGCTTCTCTTGCCACAAGTAATGTTTCTGCCTTGTCGTTTCTCTTTTGACAAATTGATGCGCTGAGTGTTGTATTTCATATTTAATTCGGCTTTAATCTGACCTGTTTGTTCAGCAGTTGTGCTTCTATTCATGATTTTGAATTCCCATCAGATGTCAACAAACTTCCCTGGTATATGTTTATCTGTTTTGGTGCGAGGGGATTGATCTATCTATGTTGCCGGCTTGCAGCTTTGGTTAGTTGTGGCGGGTTTTCCTGATGGCCACTAGCCTGAGAATGTACACAACCTGTCAGCAACTTCAAGCACAGGCACGCGCTCATGCTGCAGCAGCTAGTGGCTTGCTTGCTAGGTCATCCTGAGCTCCGGTTGCACATGCCCCCATCAATAGCTTTTGCTACAAGAGGACGATTGCAATTTACAAGGACTCAGGCTTCAGCTTGCACTTCTTGATCGTGAATTTGATGACCTAGGTATCGTGGTGGTTTCTCTCCTCTCTTTCAAGCTTTGATCGCAAACTATGCATTGGTTTTGGTTCTGATTCTTTCTCATTGGGACTTGATCTAGTAGGCATGATTTGTTCTTGCTGTTGTGTTGCGGACTACGATCCCCTTAGACTTAGAGCATTAGACTCTGACAATGTTGCTTCTGCTCGCTCAATGAGCGAGGAAGAGATCAATAGCTTGCCTGTGTGAACGTACAAGGTCCCAAGATCGGAGATGTAAGTTGGAATTCTTTGCTTTGTAGGTTTCCGCCCTGACCAGACCTTGAAAATTGAAATTCGATCCGACATTATTGGACTTTCTCCTTGTTTACTTTCAACAGTGGCAGTGCATCTGGGCCAGAGGCATCATCCTCCTCGTCCTCGGTTAAGCGGAGGTAGGCTTTTCACTACAAATGTTTGCACTGTTCTTTTGCATTTTTTTTAAGTTCTCTTTACCAGTCACGATTAGACCTTCAATAATTCAATGGAATTTCTGGATTGATGGCTTTTTTACTATCATCTCACTTTGCATCAGGAATCATCTATCATTCCTAGTTGCACAGTTCATGTGTGGCCTTTATCGAAACGAATCATCTGCTTTTCCCCCTTGTCCCTTGACACAGTTCCACACCAACTGCATCGACCAATGGCTACGGCAACAAGGAACATGTCCTGTCTGTAAATTCCGGATGGGAACAGCATGGCAGGACTCTAGAGGAAGCGATTCGGATGGCTCAAGACATTGTTTAGCGCAACTGCTTCAAGTGTAATGCCACTGTATAGCAATAGCAAAACATATATACAGAAGTGTATCTATATTCTTTTTTTTTGTTTGCAGCAATGATCAGAAAAAACAAACTGGTATTTAGGCAGTCCCAAGTCCTAGCCTTTCTGCACCAGCGGGATGGATTCAAGAAGCTCATTGCTGCTTAAATTCTGTCAGGTCTCTGCATCTTTCCTCTTTGTGCTCGTCGCCTAATAAGATGAGTTAAATACCTTGTTCTCTTCTCTAGCTACCCGGTTGTCGGTTCTGTGGTCTTCATTTGTTGCAGTAAACATGATTTCAAGTTTTCAGCCATGCATTCATCAAGCCGATGGGAAAGGCATCCCAATGGTTATTTTATAACCCAGGATTTTTGTGCTTATCTTGGAGGCTAATACCGTTCCTTATGAATACCTGATAAATTAAATCCATCCTTTCTCATTAATACCTGATAGATCTACGCAAATAGGTGGTTTGAGCTTAATTACCACCCTGTTAAAAGGATCTTATCAGATAATGATTGTCCCATTTGAGCCGCAAGTGGGTCAAAAATTAGAAACAAAAAATCAAGAAACGCGCCAGATAGGGGTCGAACCTATGACCTTCTGCTTAGGAAACAGACGCTCTATCCACTGAGCTACAGGCGCTGGTCTGTTCAAAAATCTGTAAAACTCTATCCATCCAATTCAACAGCTAAGGAGTGGATGGACCATCTTATGTCATAGTGTCACATCCAAGTCAACCAAACTTATATCTACAACTTCACCATTACATGACAAAGAGGAACATAATTCTGGCATGCTCAATTGCTCATCGCCTCCCAAGAGTGAGCGCTCATTGAGGCCAATCGGGAGACGAGGAGAGGAAGCCATCACCTATGCCGAGGACGGGTTACTATATCAAATGATGGGATAGAATGAGCACAAGAGACTAATGTCGAAAGATATCAGACTGAAGCATTTACCGCCTTCCTTTATAGCGGTGATGCAATCACCGCCCTCCTCTCATGCGGTGATGCAATCACCGCCTTGCTCTGTCGCGGTGAAGGCTCAAATATGCGTAAATTGGGAATTTTTTTCATAATGTGTGTATTTTGAGAATTTTTTTAAAAACATGTGTAACTTGGGATTTTTTCCTCCGAATTAGCTACGGATTGCTTGAGGAGGAGGAGGAAGAAGAAGAAGAAGAAGAAGGAAGAAAGTGGGTATTTCGCCTCAGACATTTCGTTTCATTATAATTACTATTATTATCTTTGTTTAAGTGTAACATTGTTGTTTTCTTTAGTATAGTTAGTCGTTAGCAAAGTGTTGTTTATCTTTGCTAATTCGTAGTTGAAACTTGGACACATATCTTGTTTCTGGTAATTTGATTTCATAGCTATAAAAGAAACAAAGGACTCAGCAGAGATTTCTGAGTTTTCTTTATCCAATTTACTTGCAAATTATCATAGTATCAGAGCAATAGTGTTCTAGGGTTCATCCATTTTGTGTCATCGTCGTGTCTAGTCAAAATACACCAGTGGGGCAGAGGTCGGTGGGAGGCTATGGAGTAAGCGGATATGCAAGAGGTTACCAGTTTGGATCACTCAACAAGGAAAGAACTCAAAATGAGACAATCACGTTTGGTAATCCTTACTATCTCAACCCAAACGAGAATATGTTTGTCTCACTTGTAGTCGAACTATTTGATGGGTCAAACTATTGGGTATATCTACGCAAATGGTGTTGAAAGCCAAACATAGGATAGGATTCATTGATGGGTCTTTACCCATGCCAGCTCATGGGATGCTAATAACACTCTTATATTATGTTGGATTCAAAATTCATTGATGGGTCTTACCCATATTAATGTTAAGGCTTTGTGGGATGAACTTAAGAGAAGGTTTGGGATACCAAATGCCCTTAGGATCATGAATATGGAATATGAAATCAACAATTGTAAATAGGGATATAAAACAATTAGTCAATGTTATACTACAGTGAAAGGTTTATGGGATGAGAATGTGGAGTATAATCCAACTGTGCCTTGTGCACCTGGGAATCCCATTCCATGTGTTGTTGTTGTTGCTGCTTTTGTTCAGAAGTAGAAGACTAATTGTTTGATCCGTTTTCTTAAGGGATTAAATCAAGCTTATGATATTGTGAAGACTCAACTGCTAATGTATAAAGCGTTGCCTAATGCATCCACAATAGCTGATGATCTATTACAACATGAACATAAGCTTAAGGGTGATGCAGTTACACGAGGAAAAGAAGGAAGAAGAAAGGAGAGATGGTTTTTGGAGAGAAATTTGATTCCCTCTCTAGGGTTTCGCCAAAAATACCAAAGGGGAGTTCTATTGAAAGAGAGAGTGATCTTGGACCTTAATTGAAGGCATTAATCAAGTTTGGAAGCAAGGAATCAAGCCTAGAAGAAGAAGAAGAAAAAGAAGAAGAGGTTTCTTTGTAATCTCTCCTATCTCCCTCTCTCTCTCTCTCTAGAAACTCACCCTCTTCTCTTGGGTTTAAGAAGCCTAGGTTTAAAATTGGGTTTAATGTTGATGTATGTGACAAATTCCTTGTTTGATTGATGATTGTACTTAATTGATGGATGTTGTCATTAGTGACATGAGTTGGGTTTCCATTTTCATTTATTGAGATTTTGACCTAGGAGGGAGATAATCCCCTTAGAGCCCCCTTTTTGGCGTCTTCGGGTCACTCCTATCGTAAATTGTCCGGGTAGTCCCCGAGGGAGTTGATTTGTGCGGTCTCCTAGCATTATACGAAACTCTAGGTTGAATAGAGCACCTACCCATCCACCGATTTGCCGTTCCGGGTCATTCCCGAGGGAGTCCTTCTCCAAACGGTAGAGTATTTGAGTCGATCAAACTAGGAGGATACTCAACATTGATCCAAAGGTCGGAAATAGGGGGATTTAACCCAAGAGAGCTCCAGACCTTATAAATAGCTAGGTTAGTGGTTAGTCTAGGTTAGTTAGCTTAGTGTTATTAATAACTACCCTAGGATTGACTAGATAACGAACCCTAAACCTAAAGTAGGGTAAGTCTAGATCCCCGTGGTACGATAAATTCTTATTGCTTGCTTGCCCTATGCTACACCAAGTCGACAATTATACTTGGCCGTCGGTTGAGATGTTGTAGTTAGAACGAGTCACTTCTCTTGTATTTTCTGAGCATTCTTCTCTTCCACTCGTCTTTCCAATAAACATTTCCTCCTTACCATTAGGCAAGATACTAATCCGATCAATTATTTTTGCTTGTGCACTAACCTCGGCACATATGCTTGCATACCCCAATCTTGTGCCATGCTTCGTCGGTAGATCCATGCAAAGAGGTTTCAATCAAACTTGCAACCCTCCCTAGATCCTCTTGGAAAGAATGTTCTGTTGGTAAGCCAGACAACTTAATCCAAACCAGAATTGCAAAATTATCAAACTTCAGCGCCTGAATCCCCGGTAGCCATCGTCGCAAACAGACGATAATGTCTTTATAGTACCACAGACCTCCTTCAAAACCCCATCTACACACCGCTACTGAGGAAAATTGAAACAGTACTAAATGATCTTCGAGCCAAAACATCTTAACCTCCAATATGGTTATCCTGCTAATAGCATAAGCTGTTAGTATATACTAACACGGTCGGATTTGAGGCCACGTAGGCGAGTCGCGATCGGATGGTGGAGGGGGAGAAGAGCAGCTTGTGGCTCGGCTGAACCAAGCCTCTTCCTTTTTTTTTACAATTCAAAAAAACCCAACCTTTTCATTTATGTTTAATTTTCTTTTCTCTCTCCATCATTTCATTTTCCTTTCTCTCCCACTCTCCAAAAATGTCGACTGCTCTCTTCTGTTCTTCTTCTTCTTCCTCTCTCTCTCTCCCAAATAATTCAAAATACCTCTTGACAACGATGGGTGTGAGAAACACGACGCCAGCGACGAGGGCTACGGGCAGGAAGAAGACGACGGTGCTTGGCAACGCCGGTAGCGGTGCTTGGCAATGCCGGTAGCGGTGCTTGAAGAAAGACGAAGTCGGCCGAGCAAGAAGGAAGACATCGACGCCAGTAGCGCGAGGAAGACGACTACACCAGTTGCGAAGAGAAGAAAGTTTTTGAGGTAAGCATCTTCCTTTGATGTAGGTGTTTTGGATATGAGATTCATTGTTAGGGATCTGGGATTCTTGTCAGTGGATTTGAGATTCGATTTGGGGGATCTGGGATTCTTTTGATTTGGGGGATTTTGATTTCTTTCGATTTGGGGGATCTGGTATTTTCTGTGGCTGGATTACATATATTTGATCTAGGGTTTCACTGGATCTGAGTATTTTTTTTTGCTTCGTTTTTTGGATCTGAGATTCATTGTTAGGAATCTGGGATTCTTGTCGGGGGATTTGAGATTCGATTTGGGGGATCTGGGATTCTTTTGATTTGGGGGATTTGGATTTCTTTCGATTTGGGGGATCTGGGATTTTCTGTGGCTGGATTACATATATTTGATTTAGGGTTTCATAGATTCGACTGGATCTGAGTTTTTTTTTTTTGCTTCGTTTTTTGGATCTGAGATTCATTGTTAGGGATCTGGGATTCTTGTCGGGGGATTTGAGATTCGATTTGGGGGATCTGGATTCTTTTGATTTGGGGGATTTGGATTTCTTTCGATTTAGGGGATCTGAGATTTTTTTGTGGCTGGGATTTCTTTCGATTTGGATTTCTTTTGATTTGGGGGATTCGTTTTTTTATGTCGATATTGTTTGGGGTTTCTGGATTTTGCTCGTAAATTTGATACTTTTTACCCGGAAAATTGTTTAGCTGGCATGGGATACCATTTAGTTTAATGTGAATATTGTTTGGTGGTTGATTGTCCGGATATTGGTTATGTGATGCATAGATATTTGTATGCTAGGTCTGGATATTTTTATGCCCTTTATGGATATTAGTTCAATGATATTAGCTCTGTTCAGGAATTGTTTCTGGATTTTGCTCGTTAATTTGATATTTTTTTTACCTGGAAAATTGTTTAGCTGACATGGGATACCATTTAGTTTAATGTGGATATGGTATGGTGGTTGATTGTCAGGATATTGGTTATGTGATGCATAGATATTTGTATGCTAGGTCTGGATATTCGTATGCCCTGTATGGATATTAGTTCAATGATATTAGCTATTTTCAGGAATTGTCCAAGATGACAAAATCCAAAAGGCGTTCGATGCCAGCTCCTCCAAGAGAAGGGAAGGTGGAGACACATCACTGGCTCAATCCAGACGCATCATGCTGGGAAAACAAAGATTTTGACAACCTTGACCTAAATCAGGTACATAGATGTTGTCTTTGCTTCTTAAGTGACATGGTTGCATATAGTAAACTAAATATTTTACAACATATGTAGCTTGCGGCAATGGAGTCAATGGTTGAGAGCATGATCCAAATGCGGCAATGGAGTCGTATTGCCTTCTCATTTCTTATGTGGTTGTGCTTTTTCGGATTTGAAATTCTTAGATTGCCAAGTTGTAATGACATTAAATACTAGTTTTATCGCGATTTGTCTATCAAACGACTCTTTTTATTAAGAATTCGAGTTTTTTATTCTTGAATATTATTTGCTCGTCGAAAACACATCTCCACAAAACAAATATTCATTCCACTCAAACTAATATCCGGCTGTCGCACTAATATCTGTTCTCCATTACAAATATCCATACTACCCAGTCTAATATCTCACCGTCTCACACTAACCCTAAGCTCTAAACACTAAATTGGTTTAATCAATTTCTGATGGTATAAATTCAACGACTCTGAACTGGAAATGAAAAACAACTCAACAATGACATCAAGGAACATCGACACAAACCAATCCATGTAAAAGCCACAAACCTTGTCATACTTGTCCACATAGACACCCTTCTAATATCCATTCATTGCAAAAATAATATCTAATATCCACACAAATATCCAAACACATAAACTCTAAACTCTAAACCCTAATCATTAAACACTAAAAAATAAAACTATTATAGTTTGCCCAAGCCGAGAATATTCAAAGGTTCCACACAAATATCCAAACACATGAACTAAAGGAATATTTCCTCAGGTTCCAATAAATATCCACACAACTCGGACAAATATCAAAATATTTTAAATAAATATCATGCGGTCGGTAAAAAGTATTAACACTAGGAAAGACAAGTATTCACAACACACTAACTAATATCTTACATTTGTACCCTAACCATAAACCCTAAACTCTAAACTCTAAAACCCTAATCACTAAACAATAAAAAATAAAACTATTATTGTTTGCCCAAGCCGAGAATATTCAAAGGTTCCACACAAATATCCAAACACATGAACTAAGTGAATATTTCCTCAGGTTCAAATAAATATCCACACAACCTGGACAAATATCAAATTATTTTAAATAAATATCTTGTGGTTAGTAAAAATTATTACAACTAGGAAAGACAAGTATCCACAACACCCAACTAATATCTTCTATTTGTACCCTAACCCTAAATCCTAAACCCTAAATCCAAAACTCTAAACTCTAAAACCCTAATCACTAAACACTAAAAAATAAAATTATTATTGTTTGGCCATGCCGAGTATATTCTACGGTTCCACACAAATATCCAAACACATAAACTAAGGGAATATTTCCTCAGGTTCAAATAAATATCCACACAACCCGGACAAATATCGAATTATTTTAAATAAATATCTTGTGGTTAGTAAAAAGTATTACAACTAGGAAAGACAAGTATCCACAACACACCAACTAATATCTTCTATTTGTACCCTAACCCTAAACCTTAAACCCAAAACTCTAAACTCTAAAACCCTAATCACTAAACACTAAAAAATAAAACTATTATTGTTTGCCCAAGCCGAGAATATTCTAAGGTTCCACACAAATATACAAACACATGAACTAAGGGAATATTTCCTCAGGTTCAAATAAATATCCACACAAACCGGACAAATATCAAAATATTTTAAATAACTATCCTGTGGTTAGTAAATAGTATTACAACTAGGAAAGACAAGTATCCACAACAAACCAACTAATATCTTCTATTTGTACCCTAACCCTAAACCCTAAACTCTAAACTCTAAAACCCTAATCACTAAACACTAAAAAATAAAACTATTATTGTTTGCCCAAGCCGAGAATATTCAAAGGTTCCACACAAATATCCAAACACATGAACTAAAAGAATATTTCCTCAGGTTCAAATAAATATCCACACAACCCGGACAAATATCGAATTATTTTAAATAAATATCTTGTGGTTAGTAAAAAGTATTACAACTAGGAAAGACAAGTACCCACAACACACCAACTAATATCTTCTATTTGTACCCTAACCCTAAACCTTAAACCCAAAACTCTAAACTCTAAAACCCTAATAACTAAACACTAAAAAATAAAACTATTATTGTTTGCCCAAGCCGAGAATATTCTAAGGTTCCACACAAATATCCAAACACATGAACTAAGGGAATATTTTCTCAGGTTCAAATAAATATCCACACAAACCGGACAAATATCAAAATATTTTAAATAACTATCCTGTGGTTAATAAATAGTATTACAACTAGGAAAGACAAGTATCCACAACAAACCAACTAATATCTTCTATTTGTACCCTAACCCTAAACTCTAAACTCTAAAACTCTAATCACTAAACACTAAAAAATAAAACTATTATTGTTTTCCCAAACCGAGAATATTCAAAGATTCCACACAAATATCCAAACACATGAACTAAAAGAATATTTTCTCAGGTTCAAATAAATATCCACACAACCCGGACAAATATCAAAATATTTTAAATAACTATCATGTGGTTAGTAAATAGTATTACAACTAGGAAAGACAAGTATCCACCACAAACCAACTAATATCTTCTATTTGTACGCTAACCCTAAACTCTAAACTCTAAAACCCTAATCACTAAACACTAAAAAATAAAGATATTATTGTTTGCCCAAGCCGAGAATATTCAAAGGTTCCACACAAATATCCAAACACATGAACTAAAATAATATTTTCTCAGGTTCAAATAAATATCCACACAACCCGGACAAATATCAAAATATTTTAAATAACTATCATGTGGTTAGTAAATAGTATTACAACTAGAAAAGACAAGTATCCACAACAAACCAACTAATATCTTCTATTTTTACCCTAACCCTAAACCCTAAACTCTAAACTTTAAAATCTTAATCACTAAACACTAAAAAATAAAACTATTATTGTTTGCCCAAACCGAGAATATTCAAAGGTTCCACACAAATATCCAAACACATGAACTAAAATAATATTTTCTCAGGTTCAAATAAATATCCACACAACCCGGACAAATATCACAATATTTTAAATAAAAATCCTGTGATTAGTAAAAAGTATTACAACTAGGAAAGACAAGTATCCACAACACACTAACTAATATCTTTCATTTGTATCGTAACCCTAACCCTAAACCCTAAAACCGAAAGTCTAAAACCCTAATCACTAAACACTAAAAAGCTAATATCTGAACCACGTAAACTAATATCCATTCATTGCAAACGATCACAAGACTAATAACAAAACCATTAACCCTAAAAAAAAAACTCTAACACTAACACCCTAATCACTAAACTCTAAACCATAAAAACTATTATTATTTCATATGCTTAATTCTTAAATAAACAAAGGATCACATCGGAATAGTTACCAAAAGTGCCCCATTAGAATATCCGAACGCCCCAAAAAAATATCCGAAAACATGAACTAATGAACCCCTAAATACTAAACTAAAACGAATATCCACACTACCCAGACAAATATCCACACCACCCAGTCTAATATTCTTCTGTCTCAGAAGAATATCATGTGATCCCAAAATGGATATTATCACTATGACAGACTAATATCCACCACATACTTACTAATATATGATTGTTGTAGACTAATCCGAATAGTTACCAAAAGTGTTAGATGCTTAAATAAACAAAGGATCACATCGAAATAGTTACCAAAAGTGACCATTAGAATATCCAAACTTCCCAGACAAATATTCGAAAGCACGAACTAATATCAATTCAAACAAAAGCTAATATCCGAACCACGTAAACTAATATCCATTCATTGCAAACGACCACAAGACTAATAATTAAACCTTTAACCCTAAAAAAAATTCCTAACCCCTAACACTAACACCCTAATCACTTTACCAAAAAAGCCCTATTAGAATATCCAAAAGTCCAAGAAAATTTTCGAAAACATGAACTAATATCAATTCAAACCTAAGCTAGACCCTAAACCCTTAACATTAAACCGTAACACAAACCCTAAACCATAAAACTATTATTATTTAATGGGCCTTCGGCCCATAGGCTCTCGGCGGGCAGCCCTAACTAAGGTTGCAAGCCTTACGTGTTAGGACTTCCTAGTGTGTTTAATTTCCTAGTGTGTTTAATTTGATGTAAGAAACAATATTCCAATCCTTCACAAATTGAAAACCGAACCATAAACCCTAAAACTTAAACTCAAAATTGGTGTAATCAGTTTCGGGTGGTTGGGTTATTTTGGGGTTTGGTAAATATTAGTTTAATTATGGATATTGGTTTGCGAAGGAAGAATACTAGTTCATTTCAACAATGATGCAAAGTAATATCAACACAACAGAGAATAATATCGACTGAAAACAAATAAATATCCCACAAACAAACATACATAAATATCACATGGACTGCGGGCCCACAATTTTCGTTCTCTCTTCACTCCTCTCCAAAATCCCGCCCAAACTGAAGTGGGCCCACAAAGCCACTTCCTCGGCTCGCCTTTTGCGCCGCACGTTGGGCCTGCTTTTACCCGAAGCCCATCTCCATCTCACTTAAGTGAGCCACCAACGAGCCCGTCTCTCCTCCATTGGATCAAATATGGGCTGACGTGAGTGACACCAAATCCAGCCATGTTAGTATCTGCTATATAATATAGCCGTTAGCAGATTAACTTCTGCGCTTAACCTCTCCCTCTCGTCCCCATAGCTAATTCGCCCAAAATCGTATTGTTGCTAGGGACAACGGAGACCCCAAAAACTGGTTGACGAGACTGTTCTCCAATCACTTTGCACCTTCCACTATTACAGATTTTGGAATTTTTAGAGACCCATTGATAAACTCTGGCTTGTAGTACTCTAGGCGATTTTTCTTCAAAGTTCCAAACAGAGAGGCCCATGACCAATCGTCGTCGACTGCAACAGATGAGGCCCCATCAGAAAAGATCGCCATCGATGAAACCCGTGATTTTACTGTTTTTCACTCATAAGTTTTTTGGAAATGTCCGTCACTAGAAGCATGAATTTAGAACCAAACTGATATACTGTAAAACCTGAAAACTGTTTAGTCTAACTAGTATAGCACCCCTAGTTTTCACTAGTGTTGTTTTCTGCAACTCCCGCTTCTACTTGCAAGCTTGCTGATTGGTTTTTGCATGGTCAACAGGAGTGGAAACTGGAGAAGTCTTCTGGTATGCATGTCCCTAATAACGACGTTGATGGCAGTGGAGGAGCAAACACATTATCGTCCTCCGATTGCATCCTCCATATTGGACGCTCGCCAGATGAACCGACTCCCTTATATTGCATCCCGCCAACGTTATTGCTTTGCTCGTGAATCTAAACGTAGAGAGTAGAGAATGCTAAGTTTGATAGTCTGTATGCTGCCCATATCTCTCTCAATTCTGCTTGGTTAGATTTTGCTCGTGTTTACTCGCATTTTTCAGCACAGATAGGGGTTGGAGCAGCAGTCCTAGTTCTTTGGATCTCGTGTACTCATGTCACCAACTTCAAATATACTGATTTTTTAGCGACTGCACTTCTGCCCATGCCAGTATGCCACACGGTTGCATACCAACACTATTAACCATACTTCAAAAGAAACCTAAACTATTTCAATTACATAATCACAAATCGTTACTGATTTCAGCATACTGTGTGGATGATCTTGCAAAGAATGGATGGATATACGAGAACAGAACCGAATATAACAAACAACATAATCACACGAGTACGTAGCATACACGCTTCGAGAACTAACCCAGAATAAGAACCTTAACCGAACACAGAAAGAACCACTTAATGAACAAACTCAGTGAATGCGCCTTGTCTTGCCTCAAAACAACTAAAAGCAGCTAGGAAGTGGTTTTACAGGGAAAAAGAATACAGGTCATGGCAGATCTCAGATACTGCAACAAATATAGTAAACAAACACTCACCAAATGAAATATGCACATCATATGCCAAGCAAAGCAATCAAGAATGGGGTTACATAGCGCCGATAGCAAGCAGGATTCTTCCTTCCACTTCAAACTCATCATGCTGATTTTGGGAAAGTAGTGGATGGGAATTACTATTCTTCTGCAGTTTTCAAAAGGATGAATGAACCTACTCTTATGGGTTTTTTGGATCCCTTAGATATAATAGTCTCCTGGCAGGGGCTGGGGGTGCCAGTCCAGGAATGTCTCTGATGTCCTTGTTGTTTGGGTTCACAATCTGAAAAATCAAAATGCAATCAAGTAATGAAATATACTCCATAGTCAATTGAAAAAGTGGTAATGCCTCTCAGAGGTCCCTCAAAAGCAATAAGACAAGATGACATTTGATGTGTTCTTGAGCACAACATTTGATTTCTTTTGTACAGTTAATCACATGTGGATATGTAGGTTTTAGAGGACATAATTTGTTAACCATCAATATTCGACATACAATTAGCCTGAAGTTCACTATAGAAATAAAACCTGAAGTTCTGAACAATAGTTTAGCAAGGACATTCAATATTCGACCATCAACATGGCAAATTTGAGTCTTGAGACGTTATGAACTGTGAAGTAGATAGAGTAGAGATGAAGTGAAAGTACCTTCACAATGATTATGGCTATTACACCACATACAATAAGGAACAGGAAAAGCATAATGCATTTATCTGTTGCCACCTGGAAAGTAATTAGGCATTTAGCTTATGGAAAACTTGAGCAAAAGGGGTGAAAAAAGGAAGAGACAGGGATTGGAAAATCTACATACCTGCCTCCCAATCTCCTTAACCAGCTGTGAGGCCTTCTTAATTGAAAACTGAATTGTGTCCAGCTCATTAACAATTCGTTCCATTTGCTCAGTCTGACAAAACAAGCAGGTATGAAGAAAGCTGCTGTTGTAAGGAAGCGCAGCAAAAAACTAAAAGGAACGGAAAACAAGGATCAGTGGAGATCATACTTACTTGTCCTTTTAAAGTAACAGCAGTTTGAGTGCCCACTTCTACTGTTTGTTGAACAACCTAAGTAACAAAACTGGGATTAGCAAGCAAGGAACTATTACAAGAGAGCAAAAGAAATATTGTTGTGGTGGGCTAAAACCTTTTTGGAGCGCTCAATGGCCTGATCAGTCTCATCCATTGTCTTCATTCCAGCATCAACAAGTTCTTGATTTGACATAGCTAGATGTCACGGATACAAATGGCTAGTTTAGAAATGTTTTCTTAGCCAAACAAATATGGGCATGAAGGCAAGAGTCTTAATGCGTTACAGTTTGTGTGCTGGGTGTGGAAAGGAGAATACACCCTGAAAAGAAATGTGAACTCACCTGATGCCATACGGGCATTGTCTTCCGCCATAGGTTCACTGGCCCCAGCTCCAGTATCAAATAGTTCAACCCTCTTGTTAGTACTCATGTACCTGCAGTATGCCTCACTTAGTATCAGAGTCCACAAGCTTCAAACTGCCATATAACAAAGGGGTAAGACAAGCATGGAAGGTAAGGGCTTACGTTTTCCTCAAGGCCACATAGGAATTCAGCTCTTTAACCTACAACGGTGGCAAACAATGAGTCTCAGTTCAGGGCTGCCACTCCCAGAAGTTAACACACGCTTTGCAGAACATATTGACCAGGTTAGCATGAAGAAAAAGAAGACTTGGAAACACATACCATGGATTGCTTCTCGTCATTAAGTTGCTTAGTGACCTCGGGTGGATTTCTGGTCCCCTCATCTTTGATTTCACTTTCGAACTCCTTAATCAATCTGCAGATAGCGTTGTAGTGGGAGTCAGCCAGCCAAGTGAAAAAGGCCACACCAAAAAAAAAAAAAAACACAAGACACGAGTTGCTAATCCATTCTATGCTATACCTTTTGCATTCTCTCATCCTGCCAGTAAGCTCCTCGAGCTGCTTACTCTGCCGATTAGAATCTTTAATCTTATCAAGCCTCTGGAACCCATTTCTGCGAGTTCGAAATCGTGTGGGGGGATAGAATCAAGGTCAAGCGAGCAAACAGGTATGGGCAACACGACCCATGAAAGGGAAGGTTTAATTAGAACAACGCAATACAGATAAATGCGGCACAAAGAAGCGAAGAGATTTCATTTAAGAGCCCAAAAAAAAATAAAAACAAGATCAAATTGAACCCTAGGAGAAGCAGCAGGATGGGGAAATGAGAGAAGACATACGAGAGAGCTCGGAAATTGTCGTTGATCTCGCCGTGGATCTGCTCCATCTGAGGAGTCATCGGCAAGTTGGTCGCCATTTTTGGGGGGGAAAGTGGAGAGGCGGAGTCAGAGAGAGAAGTAGCAGAGTCCGCCTTGGGATTTCAGATGATGAGTAGCAGCGTTGGGCGTTGATGCTGCCGGCCGCTGGCGTGGGAGGCGGGGGACTGGGCAGCGATGGCGACGTTTCAGAGGGGAATTGAGTGAATCAAGTTGGTCGGTGAGGGAGATGGGACAAAGATGCGGTGCGGCAGTGATCTCCGTCTTCGCCCGGCGGACATAGAAACTAACAAAAACACCGGAGGCAGCTAATCGATTTCAGTAATCAAACGTTCGTTGCTGCCGTCATGGGCTCGCTCTCTCTTCTCTTCTCTTCTCTACCATGGTTCAAAATCTGTGCTGTTTTGGGTGTTTGGTTGTGGAATGGATGCGCTGTAAACAGAAGTACAGAACAGATCGCTTCGTCGGAGTCGTTTTTTTTTTTTTTTTTTTTTTGGTTTGCGATTTTCCCTTTTCTGCTGCAGTGGGTTGGCTGGTTGGGCTCTGACCGTATCATTGGATCCGGTTACTGAATTGAGCCCAGCCCACATATCGCAACGTGTACGATCCATCTCTTTCCCTCTACGGAAAGGAAACATCTTTCCGGCCTGTTTGGAATTTCATAAACCGGTTCACAAAAAAAAAAAAAAAACATTCACAAACGGAAATTCCATTGCCCAAGTGGTCTCAAGACTTATCAATGCAACACTCGATAGGGATGTCAAATTACCCGCCCATGGGTAATTATATCCAAATTCCGGTAGACCCATTAATAATAGGTTGGGTATGGGTGAAGTGCATATGAGTTTGGGGTTTATAAATGAGTTTGGGTAAGGTATGAATATTGCTTCCATAATCTAAATGGGTATGTGTTGGATATGGATATTCATTTACTTGAGGGTGTTTTAACTACACATGCAAAAATTGGACCTATTTGTAAAACTTGAAAAGTTTAGGTACCAAAATGTAAGACCAAAAAATTTTAGGTACCAAAACGTAATTTTCCATCGATATTTTGAGGACTTATATGCAAAATAAATTAGGTACTAAATATGCATATCTATTAAGTTTAGGTACCAAACTGTAATTTGTATTTGGGCATGGGTACAAACCCAAATCCATTTGATATAAACCCAACTCAACCCAAAGAAAATGGGTATGGGGTACAAAGCCATCAAACTCTACCCATATCCATCTATTTAGATTTCATACCCAACCCAATTAGGTTGGATAGTAAGAAACTCATAGGTATGGGCAAAGTTGCCATCCCTAACTGGAAGCATTGGTAACTTTCAGCATTGATAATTTTGATCTGAATTGTTTTTCCTATCAGTTTGACTTGTTTTGAGACGGATATGTAGGCGAGACTGAACGGTATGGGTATTCTTCTCGACCTGACTTTCTTTTAAAAAAAGGATTTCATTAAGAATGCATCGGCCAGGCTCAATCGAAAATATACAAGCATTGATCGATATGGGTTGGGAAATCAGAAACAACAAGGCTCAAACAAAACCCGGAACCAATAGGGATCTAAGCCAATGACCCAAAACCAATCCTTAACCCCGAACCCTAGCCACCTCTGGCCCCCTCTGAAAACCACGTCATCGTGGCTGAAAACCACCATCGTCGCTCGACCATAACAAGTAGTGTCGTCAATCAACAGACACCACCACCAAACATCAAGCAAAGGAGCAGGTTCCCACCCAACCCAAAAGATATGATGTGGAAGGCAGACCCTCCAAACCAACCCGAGCCGAATCAACCATTCGCATCTCACTGCACGAAACTCAGGAAATAACACAAACCAATTGGTCGGCCGACGAGGAAATAGAGGAGTGACGATCTTCTGTCTTCAAGCTACCAAACTGAGTCCAATGCCAAGGACTGTATCTCCAAACCATCCGGATTTGCAAGGCGAGAACAAGGAGGTAGACCAAGGCAACACGAGGAGCAGATAAGTCGGGTATGTACTGGAAAGCAACGCACAAAGAGAAAAGGACAACCTCAACAAAGGAAAAACAAAGTAAATATGTGGTTGGAAACAACATATTAGAAGAGGAGAGAGCCGATCAGGAAAGGAGAAGAACGGGAGGCGGAGTGGCACCGACATCAGCCCCCTCAGATGCATGAAAGGAAGGGTTTTCTAGAGAGAGGTCTCATTGACTTGACTTGATTTCCCCCTTTCTCCACCTGTTTTATGCCTAAATTACATGTAATTTTACTCAAATTACTTAGGGGTCGTTTGGATCAGGGTTTTGTTTGAGGGATTTGGGCACAATCCCTCATAGTGAGAGATTTTAATTAAAATCACTCGTTTGGGAAACAATTTTTTAATCAGAGATTTTAAACATTCTGGATTTAAGAAACTCACATATGTGGGATTGTAAAATAGCTTATCACCATCAGCTATTTTGAAATTCCTCAATATTTTGCCAAGTTGTTCCATATATGTCCATGCTTATTTTCTGAAAATCCAACTTTGCCATTCTTCTATTAACCCTTACAATTATTGTCTGTCTCTATCTCCATTCGCAGAACCCTTCGTTCTGCTTCACTCCAACCCAAACGAAGGAGCGGAAAGACGAACCAGCTGTTGCCGAGAAGTGCTCACCGGCGGTGACTCAGCTCCGGAGAGCATTCAATGGTGAGTTCGCGAAATCCTTCTTCTCCGTTCATCCTCTTTGGCTTGTTTTGGTGGTGATTCGCCTTTGTCTCAATCAGAATCTTTTGGGTTCTGGGTTTTATGGCTTTCTTTGTTGGTGTTTGGCAAAGGAGAGCATAAATAGGTTTGTGTATTGAGAGTTTTAAAGCTTTCATGACTTACTTTGTCCAGTCAAACAAATTAGGATTGTGAGTTGATTACTTGGCAGAATTGGCGCAACCTTCATGGCCTTGTAATCTTGGTTTTGAGAGGTTCAATCGTAGTGAATACAGTTACCAACCTAAGTTTTCTAACCACAATAATACTACAGTTCACATATATTATGTTCTTCAAACTGCAAATTGTGTCCTTGAAAGTGTTGTATGGAACTGATGTTAGAACTTCTTCTCATTCAAGTTGTCTGTGTGTCGGCAAGCAAGCGAGGCAATCTACTTCAGAGTTTGGAGAAACTTGGGGGGCTCACCAGAGTTGAGATCATTACTGCAATGAGGCTACTCTCCAACAATGATCGAGACTTGATGACGTATTAGACAAGAAGATGATTGTTCATTGTAATCCCAGCTCGTACATGGAGCTTTTTGGGGGGATTGCTTAATCTTCTTTTCTATGAATGGAGACTGCATTTGTTTAATCAAGTATTTGAACAGGTTGCATTGGTAACTCTTTTGAGCTGTTTTGTTTAAGGGTAACTCTACTTTCAAATGCTCAATAAACTTCCACTACACAGCTCAAAGAAACCAAAAGGTGGACAAAAGCAAAAAAGACAGCCCGCAGAGGAAGAAGGATAGAACGTGCAGGATGCTTGAGCAGCGGCGGATACAGGGGGGGCCCGACTAGGCCCGGGCCCAGCCCTCCCTGCCTCCCCAAGACCCAGCCCAGCGGCATTTTAATATGTAGTTATTTGGGCCCAGCCCGTCTCAGGACCCAGACACCCAGCCCCTATTCCTCATCAGCTTCCACTGCAGCCCAAACAATCCAAAAACAATCTCCCGCTGTCCCGCATCATTAGTCACTAGCTTCCCCTGCAAGTCTGGAACCCAAAAAAAAAAAAGACGAACAGAACAGACCTGCTCTGCTCCGCTATCAGCCTGATCGACAATCGCTGCTCATCCCCGCGGACCCCGCCTCCCCGTCCCGAGATCGTCTTGTCACCGCCTCACCGGAGACCCTGTCACCCGGCCGGCGCCGGAGATCCCTTGTCGGCTGAGGCTGGCCTCAGTGGCCTGTGGCAGTGTGCCTGACCTCTTTCTTTCTAGTTTCTCCGCACTCCGCAGTCCGCAGACCTCAGCGCCAGCGCCCGCCGCCCAGCTTTGTTTCTAGTCTCTCCGTTTGTGATTCACTGATTCTCTTAAGTCTTATCTCATCCGGGAAGTCAGAAGTGTGAATTGTGAATTTGTGATTATTGCAAAGAAAGTGCTCAGAGACTAGAGAGGTAATTGCAATTTGCCAATTGATTATTGATCTTATTGTCTTAGTTTAGTTAGTATTATTTACTTAGAAACTAAGTTAGTCTTATTCCCTTCACAGTAGTTTGTATCCAAATTTACTTAGAATCTAGTGTTTGACTAAGTTGTGTACATGTATAATTGGTTATGCAGATTTCAAGATATTTCATCATGACATCTTCTCAACCACCAAATAAAAAGGTGAAAACAACATTGTTTTCTTACTATCAACGTAAGGAATCTGAATCATGTCAGACCGAAGAAGTCCCTCCTAATGAAGGTCAACCATCTTCCTCTCCAGTTCAGAATGAAGCATCTACCTCTCCTGTATCCGGTAATCTACTTCCATCATCTGATAGTGGAGTTGAAATTGAAAGAGATCCAGGAAAGAGGAAACAAATATGTGATTGGGCTCTTGAGTTGAGAGATGAGGTTAGGAGAAAATACCTAATACCCAAGGCTTATCAACCTAAACTCGCATACTATAAGCCGCGAGAATACCCAGATAAAATTCGTCACTTTCAAGAAGCATGGTATTCACAATTTGATTGGTTGGAGTATTCTCCTACAACACATAAAGCATATTGTTTCCCATGTTTTTTGTTTAGAGACAAGATGAATGGGAATCAAACTTCTGCACTAGTGCAAGATGGATTTGATAATTGGAAGAGGGTTACTGGTAAGAAATGTGTGTTCCTTGTTCATGTTGGTTCATCAGCATCTTCAAGCCATAATAAATGTGTTACAGCGGCTGATGCCTTGATGAAACCCTCCGGTCATATTGATAAAGTGATGCACAGAATTGGTGGAGAAGAAGTTCTAAAGCATCGATTGCGGTTGAAAACAACAATTATGGTTGTCAAACAGTTGGCTTTACAAGGAAGTTCTTTTAGAGGACATGATGAATCTGATGATTCTTTGAATCCGGGGAATGTTCTAGCTTGGATTGGTTTTGCAGCGAAGTTGAATGATCAAATCAATAGTGTAGTTCTTTGTAACGCACCAGGAAATGCGAAATACACTTCACCAAGCATTCAGAAGGAGATATTGGGAATCATAGCAAATAGAGTGTGTTGTAAGATACGCGAGGATATTGGAGATTCTTGTTTCTCTATTCTTGTTGATGAAGCAGTTGATGAAGCAGGAAGGGAACAAATGTCTATTATTTTGAGGTATGTCAGTTCTTCTGGTATAGTAATTGAACGCTTTTTTGCTCTCAAGAGTGTAGCTGATACTTCTGCAGAAACACTAAAACAAGCTATTTGTGGCGTTCTCTCTCAGTATGACCTTCAAATTGAAAAATTGAGAGGTCAAGGATATGATGGTACTAGTAATATGTCAGGACAGTTTAATGGAGTCAAGGCATTATTTCTTAGAGATGGCCCATATGCCTATTTTGTCCACTGTTTTGCTCACAGATTACAGTTGGCATTGATTACTTCTGCAAAGGTATGTGATCCTATATGGGATTTCTTTTCCATATTGGATTGTATCATAAATGTTCTGAAGGCTTCTCCTAAACGGATCAGGGAGTTGCAAGCAATTCACAAAAAAGATCTTGATGGTATGTTGGATGCTGGAGAAATTCAATCTGGACAAGGAGCTAATCAAATGACATCCTTAAAGCGTTCAGGGCCAACTCGTTGGGGATCTCATTATCATTCCATATTGAGCATTATAAACATGTTCAATGCAACATGTGTAGTTCTAGAGGATCTTTGCCGTTCTAAAGAAGGAGAACAACGAGCTCAAGCCAGAGGTGCTTCAAAAAATATCAAGACTTTTGAGTTTGTGTTCAATCTTCACTTGATGAAAGGGATTATGGATATCACGGATTTTCTTTGTCAAGCATTTCAACAAGAATCTGTTGACATTGTAGCTGCAGTTGGATTTGTTTCCATGGCAAAAGTTAAACTTCAAAAGCTACGGGATGAAGGATGGGACAAGCTACTCCAAGAGGTAAAATCTTTTTGCTCAAAACATGCCATAGAGGTGCCTAATATGAATGCTACACTTGGACGTGTTGAGAAGCAAACAACTCTTGAGCACCGTTACCATTTTGAATACTTTAATCAATGCATAGATTTTCAGTTGGGAACATTGAATTCAAGATTCAATGAGTCCTCAGTCAGATTGCTTCAGTTGAGTGGTGCACTAGACCCTAAAAGTTCTTTCCGGTCTTTTGATGAAGAAAATATTTACAGACTTGCTGAAGAGTTTTATCCTCGAGACTTTGAAGGCAATGAGATGTATTGTTTGAAGAATGAGCTAGGATATTATGCCGATCATGTGGTTCATTGTCAGGAATATGATGTTTCTTCCCTTGCAAAATTACTAGAGAAGCTGGTGGAAACAGGGATGGACGCACGGTACAGATTGATTTGTCGGTTGATTCGTCTAGTGTTAACATTGCCTGTTTCAACGGCTACTACAAAGAGATCCTTTTCAGCAATGAAACATGTGAAGACTGATTTGCGCAACAAGATGGGCGATGAATTTCTTGCTGATTGCTTAACTATTTTCTTTGAGAGAGAGTATGTTATTGGTATGGATGAAGACTCAATTATTGACGAATTTGCTAAATTAAAAGACCGTCGTGTACAATTGACATTGTAATGCAAACTATAAATTTTTTTTGTTTACGGTATCTAATTTTATGTTCGAATCCGGCCCATTGCACTTTTATATCCTGGATCCGCCGCTGTGCTAGAGTTGTTGCCTAAGTATTAGACTAAATCAGGGTAATTATGTGATTTTACATTTTCATTTAAGAATGTCATATTTGTAGCCAAACGAGTGATTTGATGCAAATCCCACACAAACCTCTCGAATTAAAAATCTGGGTTTTAAAACGAGTGATTTAATCCCAAATTCCTCTCAAATCACTCAAATTAAAAACCTGCATCCAAACGACCCCTTAGGATTTTGCATTTAACTCATATTTTAGTTATATTGGAGTTGTAAATAGGTGAAAACCTCAATTTCTCTAATAATTTAATTATATTTACCATATTGTAGCTTGTTTCTTTAGATTTTAATGAAAAATGAATATTTTTAATATCTTCCTTTTTAATTACATACATATATGAGTCAACCTGCTCGATCAACACCACGTGATAAATTGCCCGACCTATACTCGACCTGCCACAAGAGGTGTGTCAGGTCGGAAAATACATAAAATAACCGACATTAAACCTTTGTTTCTCTTATAGTGAGTTAGGTCGGAAAAATACTCGTGTGGATACAGTGTGGGACGGGTCGAACGATCCGTATATATTATTGAAGTAAAGAACGTCGATATTTAACTCTTTACAAATTGTAAAAAAAAAAAAACTCTTTACAAGAAGACAAAAAGAAAGCATTTCATTAAATGAATAATAGCAATAGTAAAAGGAGCAATTTAGTCTACATAATTGAAAGTTGGAGTTTTAAAATTTATTTGGTATCATAGTATGATTTTGGAAAAGTCAAAAGAAGATAAATATAAGTAGATATTAATGAAATTCATGATAGAACGAGACGCGATAGGACGAGTAGGTAATAAATAGTAACCGCGCCTCCTTTACGACATATAACGGAACATACAATATTAGTCCAAATAGATATCGAATCGCACAAGTGAGTTCAGAAATTGCACATGAGTCCTATTACGGGGTTGGGTAGTGATGGCAATGGTAACCCCGTCCCATACTATTGCGGATCAAAACTGGTAAAACCAGTGCAAGTATGGGCCACGGGGTTGTGCGGGTCGACCCACTTTTACATGTTATTTGAAAAAATACTTTCAATTTTACTTTTTACGATCAACTGAATGAAAAAACACTTTATGAATGAAAAATGGTGATAATAGAATGGGTAATTGAGTCTAACAAAGTGAAAGATCGCCTCTAACTAGTTGAAGTAAAGTCAAAATAGGATAAATATGTAAAGATTTGATAAGAAACTGAGATAAAATGAACAAAGGATGGGGTGAGGTAGGGTGGGTCGGAAGTCAACACCCATGCTACGCCTCGCCATTACGGGTCAGATAATACCTGCCCTATCGCGGATCAAATCGGGTAATACTCGATAGACGGGTTCAACTTGCCAGAACTGAGTCGTACAATACAAATATTATGTTGATTGGAACGAATCAACGTTTCTGCGCCCAAATTCAGTGACCAATTTCTTTCCCCTTCCCAAATTAATCAGTTTCGGTTCATGATATCTATGCAACCCTAACCTCCCAATACCCGTGTCCCCTTTTCTTCCCCATAGTTTTCTTTTCTTTCTTCCACATCAACAACGTGTTTATCATCTGTCATCATTGTTCACGAGGTGCTGAATCATTTCAAAAAGAACAAAAAAGGAAACCGGAAGGATATGATAATGAATATGGATATGAAAAAACGTATGACTTGGTGGAGTAAGAGTTCCTCATCGAGCTTCTTCAGGCTTATGGTTTTGATGATGTTTGGTGTAAATGGGTACGAGCATGTGGCACCTCTGTCCGCTTCAGGATTCTGTTTAACGGTGAGCCAACGTCGGAATTCCGGCCTTCAAGAGATTTGAGACAAGGCGACCCACTATCACCACTGCTATTCATCCTTATGTCCAATGCTCTCTCCTTCCTCATTGAACGATCGGCGAGCAACCATGAGATTAGAGGACTGAAGCTCAATAGAACGTGCCCCAATCTCACACACTGCCTCTTCGCGGACGACATCGTTATTTTTGGAGAAGCCTCCTCATCTGAGGCTGAGCACATACTGAAAATCTTAAGTGATTATGGGGCAATCGCTGGTCAAGAAGTGAACATAGAGAAATCTTCAGTGTTTTTCAGTTTCAACGTGAGCAGAGAGGAACAAGAAGCGGTCACCATCACCATTGGTTTTGCTGATTCCAGTTGCCACTCCAAATACTTAGGGGTGCCCACGGAATGGGGAAGATCAAAAGCAGAAACCTTCCACTTCCTCATTCAACGTATGGAAAGTAAGGGAGAAGCATGGAAAAGTCTCTTACTTTCTCCAGGAGGAAAAGAGACACTCCTCAAAGCGGTTTTCCAAGCTATCCCTTCGTTTATCATGAGTCTCTTCTTGCTTCCTAGATCTACTACCAATAAGATGGATTCCATGCTCAAACGTTTCTTTTGGGGAGGCTCGAACACAAAAAAGACAATACATTGGAGAAACGGCAGAATCCTTTATGCCCCAAAGAATGAGGGAGGAATTGGATTTCGACCGTTTCATGAGTTCAACATGGCTCTCCTAGCCAAACAATCATGGAGAATCCTGAACAGCCCGGAAGCCTTATTGGTTAAGCTTTTGAAAGGCCTGTACTTTGCTCGGTCTGATTTCCTCGCTGCGAAAAAAGGAGGAAGAGCATCATGGATCTGGCCTGGCATGTGGGAAGCGAAGAATTGGATGGAACAAGGACTCATCAGAGTAATAGGTAACGGGAGATCTACAATAATCTTCCAAGACCCATGGCTTTTTGCTAGAGCAGGGAATCTTTTCCCGTAGAGAGCCTCTTTCCCGGCAACAGTGGACAACTGGATTGATGAGGTCAACAGAGTCTGGAAGTTTGATCTCCTAGAAGAGTTCCTCCTCCCTTTGGAGCTCCAACAGGTCCTAAGCACGCCAATAGGCCCGGAAACACTGCAAGACTTCTGGGCGTGGCGGTTCTCTGAACAAGGCGACTTCACTGTCAAATTAGCACAACCAGATGCGCAGAGCCCAAGAGGATTACCAGGAGATTTCAGCGGAACGATGGAAATGGCTGTGGAGTCTCTCATTGCCTCCGAAGGTGGAGTTCTTTATTTGGAGATGCAGTAGAGGAGCACTTGCCACAAAGGAAAACCTTCACGCGATAAGATGCTCACCTTGAAAGCATTGCCCTCTATGCACTGATCAGGTGGAGACCATCCATCATAGCCTCTTCAACTGCCCTCATGCAGCAGAAGGATGGAAAGCGGAATGGCCATCCCTTAGTGTCCCCCAACAGCACACATGCATCCTGGAGTGGCTTCATTCTCTCTGCCAAAGGTACCCTATTTCTACCATCCAACGTATCATTTAACTGATGTGTCATACGTGGAAGGCAATAAATGAATGTATCTTCAAAAAAGCGAATCTGGCTGCCAGATACGCTCTCTCAGGCCCTCTGTAGCTACCAACAATGGAACTCATGCCCCAAGAAGAGGAGATTATCCCATCCTCATCCTCAGCCCCCTCCAATCCCAGAGCATTCTGCACCACCCCCAGGTACTCATGACTTTGAGATACACTGCGACGGATTGTTCCTACACGATTCCCAAGAGGCGGCTTTCAAACAACCATGGTCAAGTTTTCAACGGGAAGGCTGAGACCCTACACTCAGTGGCGGATCCAGGGGGTGGCCACCCCGGGCCCCGGCCCAGTCTCCTCTGGATCCATAGTTAGTATAGGCTTTATGAATTTTTTGATTTTAGATATTCGGGTCGTTGTTATTTTAAAATAAGATTGGGTATAATTAGAAAAATAATTCGGATGAACATATTCAAAATCACTACTCTAAATTTAGCTTATAAATTCTAACCCCAAAGGTTATTTGTCTAGAAAAACAATGAAACCTAAAAATTCAAAAAGTTTAAAACGTAAAAGACTAAAACATATATAGGTTTGTTACCTTGGAAAATTTCTAGAGCAGCTGGTGGATATAGGGATGGAAACACAATGCAAATTGATTAGTAGATTGATTTGTCTAGTGTTGATGCTCCTCGTTTCAACAGCTAATACAAATAGAACCTTTTCAACAACGAAACATGTGAAAATTGATTTGCGCAACAAAATGAGCGATGGATTTCTAGTCGATTGCTCAAGTATTTTATTTGAAACAGTGTATACTATTGGTATGGATGTGGACTCCATTATTAATGCATTCGCTAAATTAAAATACCGTCGTGTATAATTTACATTGTAAAAAAATTATAATCATTATATTTTTTTACTATTCTAATTTTCTAATAAAATGCGGCCTAGTGCACTTCTGTGTTCTGGATCCGCCGCTGCCTACACTGCTTTTCACCACTTGAAGTGGAAGCCAAAGCCCTCCTGGAGGGAACTCGTTTAGCTGTCGAGCTCGGGTCATCCTGTCTTATCCGCTCGGAATGCCTTTCACTGGTAAGAGCAGTCAAGGAGCCCCTGATTCTTGGTCGTGGCGTGTTGCGGCATGAATTGGCACCATCAAACATATCTGTGGTTCCTACAAATGGATTCATATAGAGTTTGTCAGTAGGAAGCTCAACTCTAAAGCAAATTGGGTGGCAAGATCCTGTGTTAGGAACCAATTGCCACCGGAATGGATTCAAACTTTAGATGTTGTTGCTCCTTTTGTTGTAACCGCTAGCTACTACTTAAGTTAGTGAAAAGAAAGTGTCTGTAAAAAAAAAAAAAAAAAAACAACGTGTTTATCCTCTCCTGTTTATTCGCCTACTTCTTCTCTCTCCATAAACAGGCTGTAGTGAGATAATTTAGACTTCCGTCCTCCTCCCCTTGATCTCAAACTATCTCTGCTACGTGTCTGATCTTCATTTCAATCCTTCTGATCAATCAATGATATTCTCCAAGCTCAGCCGCTCCACACGCGGCTCCAATCTCTCTAAGGTATTCCATCTGATTATCAGGTTGTTGTTTTCTCCGAGTGTCTAGGGTAACATTTAAAACTACTGATCGTATTCGTGGTTTTTGGTTTCTTTCTAGTGGCAGAATATATCGCTCCGTGGTTACCGCAGATCAGCCATCACCGGCCTGCCGCTGGGAGGTTCGTTTGCCAATCGTATAGACGACGGAGTGGGCTTTCTGAGGAGTTATTTGACTTCTATTGGGGCTGCCAAGAGCTCTGCTGCCAAAACTTCCGTCGCGAACCTGAACGCCATCCTTGCAAACCCTAGACTCCGGCGGGTTTTCTCGAGTGAAGCTCCCAAGAAGAAGAGTGAGCTACTCTTCCCGTGTCTCTTTATCACTGTTATATTTATATAATGATGCCGACGAAAATTGGTAGCTCTTTGGGTTCGCATTGTTGGAATCGCTTTACGAATATGGATAGATCGGAGTAGGTAGATGCATTTTGTTTCTTATCTTGGAAAAAATAGGCGGGTGTTTGTTTTCCTTGTTCTAGGCAGAGCTGTCTTTTTTAAGGCTTTTGTGGATTCATTTCGCTCCTTTAAATCAATTAATGCTAATTGCAAGAGCCACAAGTGCCGGACTTGGCTGAGCTGCAGAACCCGGAGTTTCGTGGAATGATATGTAACTGATGCTTAACCTCATGTGTTGCTTGCAGGTTATGAGAACTTCTATCCCAAAGGAAAGAAGAAAGCTCCGAAGGGAGATGGGAAGAAATCTGAGTCCAAAGGTGATGCTTCTTTTCTCAGCTTAACCCCGCTTCCTAACTTGGACAGCCAGTATTTAGTTGCAATATCTTTCCAGGGATCAGTGTGTGCTGGAAATGAGTTCTGCAGAATAGCTGCTTATTATTTTGAATTTACATCTCTATCTATCATATGATATTGATGCATTTTTATCAAAAGAAATAAGCAGTTTGATTTGCTTGCTAGCTGATCACATGTTTTCGCTTTCCTTTTCCAGAGAATTCAAACGCTGATGATGAATCGAGCTTTCAGAAGATGTTTACGAAACAGTTCAACAACTTACTGACCCCTTTGTTAGTCATTGGGGTGCTTCTTTCTTCTTTTCCTTTTGGCTCGAATGAGCACCAACAGGTGTGTATATCAGCCTTTATTTTTTCTGCACTGTTGCCTGGAAACATTTGTTCTCAAGTGTCAATTCCCACTACTGTCGCACTAATGTTCTCTGCCATTCTGTCAACAGATCAGTTTCCAAGAGTTCAAAAACAAGCTTCTCGAGCCTGGTTTGGTGGATCATGTAGTTGTTTCCAACAAATCAGTTGCAAAAGTTTATGTGAAGAGTGCACCATCAAACCAGACAGGTGGTGAAGATGTCCAAGGTTCTACGACTGCCACTCCTATTAGAGGACGTGGAGGACAATATAAATACTATTTCAATATTGGAAGTGTGGATGCATTTGAGGAGAAGCTGGAGGAAGCACAGGAGGCCTTGGGGATAGACCCTCATGACTATGTACCTGTTACATATTCCTCGGAGGTTGCTTGGTTCCAAGAAGTGTTGAGGTTTGCTCCGACGTTATTGCTATTGGGAACCATCTTGTACATGGGAAGGAGAATGCAAGGTGGGATAGGCCTTGGGGGTGGTGGTGGAAAAGGTGCACGTGGTATATTCAACATAGGGAAAGCTAACATCACCAAAGTGGATAAAAATGCTAAGAATAAGGTATGTTACTTTTCATTGGTTAACAGTAACCACTTTGTTCTTTTCCATCTAAAACAACACTGAGAACGAAGATGTTTGATGACTATTATTCACTCGAGCTGTCTACTTACTCTTCGCACATCTTTTTTTTCTTTTTGTTTTATTTTGACATATTGAGCTATTCCAGGTCTATTTTAAAGATGTTGCTGGCTGTGATGAGGCAAAGCAAGAAATTATGGAATTTGTGCATTTCCTTCAGAATCCTAAAAAGTATGAGGAGTTGGGAGCAAAGATTCCAAAAGGTGCTCTTCTAGTTGGTCCTCCGGGGACTGGGAAGACTCTTCTAGCCAAGGCAACTGCTGGGGAATCTGGGGTGCCATTTTTATCCATTTCTGGCTCTGATTTCATGGAGATGTTTGTTGGTGTTGGTCCATCTAGAGTAAGGAATTTGTTTCAAGAAGCGAGACAGTGTGCTCCAAGTATTGTATTCATTGATGAAATCGATGCGATTGGCAGAGCAAGGGGACGTGGTGGCTTCAGTGGTGGCAATGATGAAAGGGAAAGTACCCTCAATCAATTGCTGGTAGAAATGGATGGCTTTGCTACTACTGCTGGGGTGGTTGTGCTTGCTGGCACTAACAGACCGGATATACTAGACAAAGCTCTTCTGAGACCTGGAAGATTTGACCGGCAAATTTCCATTGACAAGCCAGATATAAAAGGCCGTGAACAAATATTCCAGATCTATTTGAAGAAACTGAAGCTTGATCAGGAACCGTCATTTTACTCTGAAAGGCTTGCTGCCCTCACTCCTGGATTTGCTGGAGCAGATATTGCAAATGTTTGTAATGAAGCTGCTCTAATTGCTGCAAGGAAGGAACAAAAAGTAATCAATATGGAACACTTCGAGTCTGCAATAGACAGAGTAATTGGTGGTTTGGAGAAGAAGAACAGGGTAATCATAAATTTTGTGCTTTGGAATTCCCTGAATTTGTTGATCAAATTGTTTCATGATGTGCACTCTTCTTTTCTTTCGGGAAGGAGCATTATAACTTATATTTCTTTCTCGTTTTCGACAATCAGGTAATAAGCAAGCTGGAACGACGGACTGTTGCCTACCATGAGTCAGGTCATGCTGTAACCGGCTGGTTTTTGGAGCATGCAGAGCCACTCTTGAAAGTGACGATTGTTCCTCGTGGTACAGCTGCGCTTGGGTTTGCTCAGTATGTTCCTAATGAGAACCTTCTGATGACCAAGGAGCAACTTTTCGATATTACTTGTATGACCCTTGGTGGTCGAGCAGCAGAACAGGTAACTTGCAAATCTCATCCGTATCTTTTATAAGTATGGGCAGAAGTGAGATTTGTTTCTTGAAACTTAGCGGAAGTGAGATTACTAGGATCTTTGGTGGAAACTATAATTGATAGGGAGGAAAATTAATCTTGAAGCGCTTGCAATGTTCGTTTATTGTCTTGTTTCATATTCCAATTAGAAAGGCCAGTCATCTTTGAAGAACGTGTGGAACAGATGAAGGTGGGATACAATATGGGTGTGTTTGTTACTCTTAGCAGAACCATCTAGTAGAAATGTGTGCTTGGTTGGGTTGATGAGAAAATAAATTAGATGGATTATGATGATGGGAAGATAGTCAATTCTAATTACAGTACTGAGGTGGCGATGGGAAATGACTAGTTGTTTAATTTAGCTTTCAAGTAAAAAAATAAAAGTTGCTTATCTTGAGCCAAATCAAACATGAAGTCTTATCTTTTGTTGCATTGCTTGAAGGCCAAACCTGAATTCTTATCTTTACCTGTTATGTAGGTATTGTTGGGGAAAATCTCAACAGGAGCCCAAAATGACTTGGAGAAGGTGACAAAAATGACGTACGCCCAAGTAGCGGTGTATGGTTTCAGCGACAAGGTGGGACTTCTGTCTTTCCCACAAAGAGAGGAATCATTTGAGATGAGCAAGCCGTACAGCAGCAAGACGGGGGCCATTATCGACGGGGAAGTACGAGAATGGGTGGGCAAAGCATATGAACGCACATTGCAAATTGTAGAAGAGCACAAGGAGAAGGTTGCTGAGATTGCTGAATTGTTGCTGGACAAGGAAGTTCTCCACCAGGAGGACTTGGTCCGGGTCCTGGGGCAGAGACCGTTCAAGGCACTCGAAGCTACAAACTATGATAAATTCAAGGAAGGTTTTAAACATGAAGAAAAACAGGGTGAGAGCAGCACGACGAGTGTGGAGGAGGACGACGAATCGCCACCAATAGAGGTGGTACCTGCCTGAACCTCTGAACGGCACTCTTGATGTTTGTGTTTGTACATCTCGACTGATTGGATTACTGCATTGAGCCGTCTCTTTGCGTGGCCCCTCCCACTCCCTCTCCCCAGAGACGTTGTAAAATTTTATAAGTTAGCCTGCCTTGGGCTTCTCACTAGAGTTCGAAATATTTTGTTGCGTTATGCCGTGTATATCTTGGTTGAAAAGGGCAAAAGGAAATGTTGAGCAATAATTTATGGCTGGTTGATTTCATGCTGTTTGTATTTGCGAGGAATGCGTTTTGTGTTGGCGCGAAGGGGAACTATTTATGAGAACGAAATGCCATTGCTTGTTGTTGTCTGGGCATGAGGTGATGGATTATGAATTTTTTTCGGATGCCAACTTGTCAGATGTTGAGGGTAGATCGAATGAATTTGCAGGAAATGGTGATGGAATCCCACGAGCGTCAGTAATCTTTATTTTGTATTGTATCTATTGAGAGAAGAGAATGAATAGATCGTGAAGGTTTATGAAGACGAGACAATACATAAACTCGATTGGTTCCTCAGACACTTGGCTGACATAATCGTGTCCAAGTTGTGGGGGTTCAGCAGCTCAAGAATTGGTTGAGAGAAGAGGGTGAATTGATCAACATGAGTGACACCAAAAGCTAGGAAAGAGGAGGACAAAAACTACAAAGGTGTCTAGCCTTGGTCTGGTAAATGTCAAGTCAAGACTCCCTCAAATAGAAAATTTGTTAGAAACACGATTTTTCGCGTTTATCATTACTACTTATGGTAGGATAATTATTGTTAGGGTTAGTAGTATTCGAGTCGTATTAGGTTATTTATTAGGTTTATTCCAGTATCTAGCTATAAATAGACACTTTGGGTCATTTGTACGATCAAGCAGAAATCAATAAAACAATTATCCCCCAAAACCCTATTCTGATCTCTCTCAACCTCGTCTGTCCTTCTTCCTCAAAGGCCTCGGCCGTTCTTCCCCAAATCCCCAATTCTTCTCCTAATCCCTAATTTCTCTTCTCAAATCCCTAAATCCCCAATTCTGTTCTATAAACCCTAAATCCCCGATCTCTAAATCTGATCTAGAAACCCGTTAGAAACTTTGTTTCTAACATCTGGTATCAGAGCCTGGTTCCGTAAGACGAGTTTATCACAACTCTCTCAGGGACGAGCTTCCTACCAGATCAAATACAGATGCGTTCAACAGATATATCAGGGCTGTCATGGGCTCAAAAGCAGGAACTAATGTGGCAGATCGTCGATTATTGGAAATCGTATGCATTGCAACATGAGAAGGCAGACGAAGCGACGGAGAGGCAGCCGCTAACCGCAGGTGCTGGCGGACCTGACGAGCAGCCGTCTACGACAACTGCCGCTACGAACGACGACGTCAAGGTGAGCCACGTGGGCGGGGAGCAGACGCCGACAATTCCTCTGCATTCCGTTCCGAGACTGCACCGATACAACAATCACCACCAGCACCAGCAACTCAAATCACCACCGCCGCTGCCACAATCATGGACCAGCACTACTCCTCAGCGATCGACATTATAGGGATCGAAGAAGCAGCTAATTGCTTCTCCCCGAAAGCATCCCCGATAAATCCACGACTGATGGGTGGAAGTTTCGAAAGAAGAAGCTTGGGAACAGAAAAGAAGAATCGGAGGCCGGCGCGCGACCCAGGACCTCGATGGTGAAACCGCCGACCCCATCAACGGTCGCAGATCGGGAGGGAGAAGCCCCCGTCAGGTCTCAAGCCATCCTCGCCACCGAGCAATCCGTCGGCATCGCCTCCGGGTCCAGCAAGGCAGACTCGACTCCGTCCACCCTCACCACTGCAAAAACATGGGCGAGCAGGAGCTTCATGGTTCGCTCACTGTGGGAAGAGCTCCGCCTCGACGGCGAGCAACAACGCGGGAACGGGATGCCGGGCCGCGGAGTGGAATCGCCCAGATCGGGAATCGGGGGAGGAGTCCAGCGATTGGTGACCGCCCTTGTCGTGGCGGCGATTTTGAAGGAAGAGAGGCGGAGGCAGGTGGAGCTGGGGTCGACTTCTCCTCACTGGGTGTGCCGCAAATCGGCGATGAAGGAAGAAGCGCGAGAAGCGCCGCGGTCGCTTTCATCTCCATGCGCCACGACGATGGCCAGGAAGAAGCCGGAGACGAGTCTACAGAAGCCGGATCCGTTCGTAGAGATAATGTCGGGAAGAGGAACGATGGAGTCGACAAAGCGGCGCAGCACCGGGGGTGCGCGACGACGAGACGCAGAGCGCGGTCGTTGGAATTCATCGTCGGCGGCGCGAATCGCACAGACGCCGCGATCGGCTATGACTTCAGTCGAGGCGATGAGGATTTCTTCCATGGCACCGACTAAGTTCAAGACGATGGCGGGTTCGAGAGGGTTGCGAGTGGTGCCGGACTCTCCCTTCCCTAGACTTGGAACGAGCTCGTCGTCAGGGAATGAGAAGCAGAGGAGATCGCCGGTGAGGGAGTCGGCGTTGGCTGCCAGGAAAAGGGAGTTGAAGATGCTGTTTGTGGTTGCACCGGGCATGACGGCCGGCCAGCTGGTGTTTTGTTCGTGGTCGGAGGAGGAAGTGAGGGAGATGGGCGGCGGCAGACTCCTTCTCACGAACCCTAGCTTGACCAGCAAAGCAGAACAAGTCCAAGCTTTGTTGGGCCAAATGGGTCGGGCTAGGGTGTCTGCTGGGCTAAGAGAAACGAGCAGATGGGTGGAGAAATGCTACTGCAATTTGGGTCACAAGTTGGGAAGTGAGATTATGATGGTTGGGCCAACGTTTGGACTTGATGTGGGCCATCTGGATCAGCAAAGCAGGCCACGAATTGGGCTGAAAAGGGCCTCTCATGGGGCACAAATGAGCCCGCTAGTAGGAACTCTTTTATATGGGGTAGGTTTGGCAGCAGTGGGTGGACCGAGATGTTGGGAGCAACTTGAACATCTTATGAGTTATCTGCCCAAAAGATTGGATTTGGAAAAAAAGAAAGATGGATTCGTGGGCTTAGAAGATCGACTCAAGGAAGAACAATTCTCTGATCCTTACTTTGTAGAGTTTGAAAAAGAGATTGGTGAGTCATTTGACCATGGTCGTGAAACGAGCCATGCGGATAGAGAAGAAGCAATGGAAGATAGAGTTGTTGGAGTGGGCTTCATTCGAGTAGTGGAGCACAATTGGAAGAAACGGAAGCGCACGAATCGGAGGAATCAGAGTGCGGATTACGCGGGAAGGAAGGAAGAGTGGGTCAAATTGGTCAACCTTGAGGGCAAGGTTGGTTTGAAGGGGGAGAGGATGTTAGAAACACGATTTTTCGCGTTTATCATTACTACTTATGGTAGGATAATTATTGTTAGGGTTAGTAGTATTCGAGTCGTATTAGGTTATTTATTAGGTTTATTCCATTTCTAGCTATAAATAGACACTTTGGGTCATTTGTACGATCAAGCAGAAATCAATAAAACAATTATCCCCCAAAACCCTATTCTGATCTCTCTCAACCTCGTCTGTCCTTCTTCCTCAAAGGCCTCGGCCGTTCTTCCCCAAATCCCCAATTCTTCTCCTAATCCCTAATTTCTCTTCTCAAATCCCTAAATCCCCAATTCTGTTCTATAAACCCTAAATCCCCGATCTCTAGATCTGATCTAGAAACCCGTTAGAAACTTTGTTTCTAACAAAATTCAACGAGAAATTGAGACAATGTGGACCAAGTATATAAATTGAAAAAAGAAAACCCCCAGCAGAGGCGTTTCTTGTGCACCAAGATAACTTTTGCTGCACATCGTGACTCATGTGCACTGTTTCAACTCGGATGGTGATTCAGTGTGGGAGGGTGCAGGGGGAGCGCTGGTTGGTTACTGATGTGATTTGTTTGGTTCGGTTCTCTTTTTACCATGGTTTGCCTTCCCGTTGAGTGTTCTTTCCGTGTCCGTCTCACGCGGTGATCGCTCAGAAACAATTTGCCCTTTCAGAAGATGGAGAGGAAACCAACTTGCTTGCTTTATCGAGTAGTGTGTCCGGTTAGAGCCTAGAGGGAGGTTGTGGTAGATGTTCAGTGGTCTAGGTAGGACTTTCCAACAAGTGAGAGTTAGTTCACTTTCCTCAGTCTATTCCTCTCTTCTCCCTTACTCGCTTCAGATCTCTTGATGCAAGCAAAGGAATCATTGGTGAAAGCAAGATCAGTGGAGGATCTCCAACAAGTGAGAGTTAGTCCACTATCTCATCAGCTGCTACTACCTTTCTAGACATCGGATATAGGATGGACTGTATCATCTTTGCCGACAGGAAGCTGTGGAGGAGCCGAGGAGAGCAGGTCTGCAGATTTACATGTTAGGTTGAGGTAATTGTTCTGTCAGTTGAGTTTTTTGTCATGTTCTTATGGAGATATTTTCTCTTTTTTCATTCTAATATTGGTTTTATCACTTTTCGTGAGAGATACTGGCCGCGATTTTGCTGTAAAAGCCCGTGGGCTGATGTGTAACCGGTATACTAAGGACAATGCACTTGCATTTTGGTATGGGACCATCACAAAAAATTAGAGGGACAATGCACTTGCATTTTGTAGCAACAAATGAATCTCTTCCGCCAACACCAACTCTAACCTGTAACTTGAAATTTGAATACCTAAAAAAGACCTAACGTTCTTGGACTCGGGAGTTGAGCAACTCTATTATTTTCTTGTCGTGTTCTTCATTCAAGTGTTACATATATAAAGATTGACCACACAAATGAAAAGCAATGGAGGGTAATAGTCTCATTCAATATATCGTCAAAATGACCTGTATGAGTTCACAAATCCATTTCACTTATTCATTAGTTCAATACATTTGACAATCTCTAACCACAAATCCTGACGCGGAGCGCGGGCAATGAAGACTAGTTATGATGAAGAGTCGTAACTCGCAAGCTTAGGCATGGGCACGGGAGGTTGGGCTGGGCTGGGCTGGGCAGGGTCCCTACTGCAAATCTGGTCGTTAGCACGTAATTAAAGAGCAGAAAAATCCTTAGCACACACACTTGGCAAAATCTGGTAGATGGGAAGAAGAGTAAACCCATTTGTGCTGTGCGCAACACGTGGTGACAGCGGGATGAGCATGATGTGGACGGTGGGATATGTGGAAGCGGGTCGGTAGTCCCATTGAATAGATATCACTTTGTCCATATTGATTTCAACCAATTCCAATCCTCTAAATTATACTATTGATTGATGTTTTAGTCCTCAGAAGGAGGGAATTGATCCTTGTTTGTTTTTACCCAAAAAATAAAGGATAATGTCTATTTTTTATCCAAACCTTTTTCAGATTCTTTTATATTATCCAAACCTATTAAAATTTTATTAATTAGCCAAATCTATCATAATGCATCAAACTATTAGCCAATTTTACGTTATCGTTAATAATTTTGTAACTATTTTCTTAGTTAAAATACTAAAATTTTGGAATGTTGACCTTCATGTGTCTCTTTTAAGTCAGTTTCATGTTGCCAAGTCAATATTACTAACAAATTTGCTAATTGGAAGTTAACATTTGGCTAATTCTTAGTATTTCGATATGTTTGGATAATATAAAAGAGTCTGAAAAAGGTTTGGATAAAAATAGACATTACCAAAAAAAATAAAGGATTTGAAAAAGGAACATAGAATATAATGTTTTTTTAAATATTAGTATGTGCTTTTATTTCATTTAATCAGATCCTCATAAATTGTGATTCCATGATCTTTTCTTTGTCTTGAGAATGAGTTCACATAGTTAAACCACTAAACTTTAGAAGTTGTTTAAGTGAATATTGACTGTTAGATTAATCTTAAGTAGTTAGTAATTAATTATGGGATGATAGTGGTTGTTGGTTAGTTAAGAATACTTAAGGAATTTTTAAATTATTTTAAACCTAACTTAAATAAATAATTAGAATGTAGGATTTTCTCCCTTCCTCCCCAACCCTAGTTATCATAGGATTTAATCTATGGTTTACTTGCTACACTTGATCTTAGCCAAAAGGCAATTAGGTTTTCATCATTTAGATATGTTTTTAGTAGATGCTGCTCACTCTGCCGTTGGCCTTGCAGTAGGTTGGTCCGTTGAGACTTCGATCTTAGTTTAATGTAGTGATTCCTTTTTTGTGACTTTGAATCTTAATATAGATCAATTGGATTATGTGGTGGTTTTTTTGTTTGCTTGAGCTGTGATTATACTACTAAGACGTTGCGACTTCAACGAATTGCCAATTTTTGTGCCCACTTAAGGGTTCCCTTCATGATCGTTGGGGATTTTAATACCATCTTGGTCATTCTGCTAATCTTCGGGGATTTGTTGATAATTTGGGACTACATGAGCTTCCTTTTTAGGGTCGACTTTTACCTGGACTAACAAGCGGGATCTGAGCCATGTGGTTCAAGAGGTTCGACAGAGCGTTTGTCTCAAAAGAATGGGTATTAAAATTACCAGGATACATGAATCATCATTTTATCGGATCATGAGTCGGATCATCGTGCACTTTTGTTTGTCATCGAGGACATTAAGAAACTAGGTAAGTCGATGTTCCGATTCGATTGATGTGGAGAAATCCCGTGGTCCGGACAATGACCAAATATTGTTTGGAAAATGGAGTTTGAGGGCTCTCATATGTACCGATTGTGGTGCAAGCTGAAGAAACTAAGACATTTGTTGTATGATTGGGCAAAAGGGGCACCTCGAACTCAGCTAGGCATATTCAAACTCCCGAAAGGGAAATTGATAGATTCTGAATGGAAGTGAGTGTGTATTTGGAGAGCATAAGGGATCTAGAAGTGGAGCTTCGGACTGATTGGACAAATGAGGTGATATATTGGAAACAGAAGTCCAGGGTGGAGTGGTTGCAGGAAGGAGATAAGAACACGTCCTACTTCCATTTGGTGACACAGTCGCGCCGAAAGTGGAATTTTATCTCAGGATTATTTGCACCAAATGGGTCTTGGGAGACAGAAGAAGATGGAAAGGCCATAGTGGCGAGTGACGTTTATTCCTCGCTATTTTCTACTGATGGTATGGATGCTTAGTTTGTCAGAGAACAAGTGTTAAGCTTGCCGATTGGGGAGCAACTAACTGTTGCAATGAATGAGAAGCAATCGACAAAGCTCTCACCGTCAGAAATTCGTACACTTGTCTTTAAGATTTGGGAACTCAGGCTCCTGGTTCTGATGGCTTTACAGGGGTTTTTTTGAAAGTTCTGGGATATAATTGGTAGGGATGTTACAGAGGTGATGACACACTTCTTTGAAACTGGGGGTCTATTGAAGAATTTTAACCACACTTGGTTGGTTTTAATTTCGAAGTTACAACCAATTTGTCTATGTTAGTTTGTGTACAAAGTTGTATCTAGAATTCTGGCTGAAAGACTATCTCGTCACCCACCTGCAATGTATCTTTGGGCCATAATGGGTTTGTGTGAATTGTTGATAACGTTCTCATTGGTCACGAGGTCACGCATTATCTGCGGAATAAACAGGAGGGAAAACAAGGATTTATGGCTTTGCGGGCTGATAATGATATGGAAAAGGCATATGATAGGGTGGAATGACCATTTTTATTCAAATTGCTTGAAAAACTTGGGTTTTGTGAGCAATGGATTAGATGGCTCTTGGATTTTGTTACATCTTCAACCTTCTCAGTTATGATGAATGGTTGTCCTTCATGCTACTTCGCTGCATCTCGTGGCCTACGGCAGGGTGACCATCCCTCCACTCTATTATTTGCTTCGGTGCATGGAAGGTTTTGTTGCACTGCATCAAGCTATTGTTCGAAAGTCCTTAACAAGGTTTTGTATAAGCCCTCGATGTCATATGGTGGCTCATTTGATTTTTTTCATATGATTCTTATATGTTTTTGCGAGTTTCTAGGCCAGAGTGCCCTTGTTTAAGGGCGTTCTTGGCTAGAAATGAGGCATTGAGTGTCAGAAGGTTAACCTGGATAAGTCGGTCGTATACTTTAGTCGGAATGTCAAGCAACAGGACATTGAGCAGCTTGGTAATATCCTGGGAGTTGGTGTTATTAGAGTCACAGACCAGTATTTGGGCTTACCAACCCTAGTGGGTCGTTTAAAGATGGAGACGTTTCGATACATTGAGGAGAGGGTATTAAGTCGGATGCAAGGGTGGAAAAGGCGATGTCTCTTGTGGTCGACAAGGGAGGTTCTGATGAAGGATGTGGTGAATGTTATGTCTATTCACGCAATGTCATGCTTTTGGTTACCAGTTTATATGTGTAGGTACCTGGATAGACATATGACTCGCTTCTGGTGGGGAGCTAAAGCAGGTTAGTACAAAATTTATCGGATCTCATGAAAGATACTATGCCCGAGTAAAGCTAATGGGGTTGGGATTTCGTAGGTTTGAGGATTTCAATTAGGCATTGTTGGCTAAGTTGGGATGACTATTATTGACGGATCCCAATTGCATGCTTGCTCATATATGTAAAGGCAGATATTATCCCACAACTTCTTTCTAGGAGGCTACTACATGATCTCTTCCATCATGGGGATGGCATGATATTCTGCATGGTCAGGAGCTCCTCCAACATGGTTTGCATTGCAGGTTGGGTCTAGGAACATATTTCATTTGCAAGTTCGGATCGGATTCCATGTTGACACTCTAACCCACCTCGGTTACGTCCAGAGATGGTGGGGACTCAGGGAATGGTTGCTTGCTTAATCTCACACCACGAAGGTAGATGGTGGGATGACTTTCTTAGCCAATTATTGGAGAGGGACACAGGTGCACAAATTCGGTTTATTCCTTTGCCAACGGTTCCGGTACAGGATATACTTCACTGGCACCATGAAATCTCTGGTTCCTACACTATTCGGTCGGGGTATCACTTGCCTTCAAACCTTAGGTGGTGTTGGGATGTTCAGGCTAAAAATGGGTCTGTGATTTGGGATGTTGTCTTATGGGGGTAAGGTTTGGGGTAGGGATGACAAAAATATTCGTAATAGTGGATATCCGCCCGAATCCGGCCTAATCGGGTAGGGTAAAATCCGAACCCGTATGACTTTTAGTGAGTACGGGTAAAACATGAATCCGAATATTGCGGGTAATGGGTGGGCATGGTTTTCTCTCTATCCAACCCGAACCCACCCGATTATACACATGCATATGTATTTTGTCTATAAATAATTATTATTTTCTCAAACATATTTTATATTTAGCATAGAAATATAATATTTTACATGAAATTGTGTTGTTTTAATTAATTTTCTTCATTCTAGTGAATTATTGTCATAATTTTCTATACATTTGAATGTTAACATATTGGTTGGAGTTATAAAGAGAAATTATTACCCATGGATAACCGTGGATACCCGAAACCCGAACGGGTATGTGCATGGTTTTGATTTTATGCCCGTTACTTATGTGGGTATCGGTATGGGTAAAATCCGAACTACTTTGGGTAGGATAACGGATATGCACTATCCGTCCCCGGCCCGACCCATTGACATCCCTATGCAGGACGCCTAAGGAACGTAGCTCGGTGTTGATGCCTCCTTGTACTCGGATGTCCAAGATCCTTTCTTGGCGGAGCTTTTAGCCTTGAGAGATGGGATCCGTTGGGTGCTTGAGATGGGTATGCAGGATGTCGTTTTCGCGGCGATGCTCAGGTGGTGTTGGACAAGGTTAAGGAGGAGTGGAGGACTCGTGTCTGGATCCTCATGGTGGGGCGATTTTTGTGCAAGATCAAGTTATTGAGGTTCTGTTTCCACCAATTTAGTGTTTTTTTTTTTTTGCCATAGATAGTTTGTAAAAGATAGGGTATTACAATGCATTTGAAAGGAAAGAGCGGTAGTCAACCAAAAGGGTTGCTACCGATGCAAGGGCCATTTGTGCCACGCGATGGACAACCCTGTTAGTACTACGAGGAGCATAAATAAAAGAAATAAAAGCAAATGAAGCCTTTAGCAGCCGCACTTCTTCAAGTACTGCTCCGCCTCGATCATGACTGACATCACCCTCCGTTGCTCGCCGGATCACCAATTGGGAGTCCCCACAAAAGCAAACAGACAAGTAACCATGGTTTAGACTCCATACCATTGCATCCTGCAAAGCCAGAAGTTCCATCAGGAAGGGATCCGAAATACCAACATAAGACTTACCGTATGCGCAGACCACTGACCTGTCGACATTGAAACCAACAAAGCCTATGCTGCCTCCTGTTCCCCGACGCGTTGCACCATCGAACCTGATTAGCAGACCCCCGCTTGGGCAGGTTGGAGATGGTGGTAGGCTCCGAGCTTGACCCGAAGGCGGCACCCAACTTTGTGGAGCTGCAGTGGCCTCCCACCATTCCGCTGATTGTTTGGTATATTGCCGGTAGAGAGGACAAGGGAGATATTGAATTTTATCATATATTGACCAGCAGCGGCCCTTCCAGATGCTCCAAGTTATGAACACAACCTCTGCAATTTCGGTTTTGGGAAGCTGCAAAGAAAAAAAGAGCTTATGCCAAGCAAGGTCAGGGGTTAGATTGGCCAATGCTGTTCGAATCTCCTCCTTCCCTGCAAGTAACCACACTCCACACGCAACCTTGCATTCAAAGAAGCAGTGAGAAATTTTCTCAATTGACTCAGAGCAAATGGGGCAAATGTCAGACTCGGAAAGATGCTTCCCCAATAGTATCGATCGCATAGGGAGGAAGCTGCGCACGACGCGCCACAAGAAGAACTTGAGCTTGGGCGGTATCGGCAAATTCCACAGGGTCTTCCAGAACGCGGCATTAAGAGGAGAAGGCAGATTGTCAAACTCAAGCTCCCTTTCTGAGGCTAGCAACTGATACCCAGACTTGACGGTGTAGAGGCCAGTCGCGGAGTAGTGCCATATCAGCTTATCCGGTACAGGTGCTGAAGGCAGAGGGATGGAGAGAATCCAGTTGACGCTCTCGGGGATGAAGGAGGTACGGATTAAATCCATGTTCCAGGTCCGAGTAACGAGGTTAATAAGTGAGGCAACAAAAGGGTTCAAGAGCGCGATACCCGGCAGCAGAATGGGAGAAGAAGGAGGCGATGAAGGAAGCCAGGGGTCGTCAATAATACGAATAGCAGACCCACACCCAACCTGCCATCGTAACCCCTTCTTGAGCAAGTACCGACCTTCCAAGACCCCATGCCATGCCCACGAAGGGCGAGACCCTGCTGTTGCATCGAGAAACTGACACTGCGAGTGATACCGCGCCTTGTAGAGCCTTGCTAGGAGAGAGTTCGGGGTCGAGAGAATTTTCCAAGCTTGTTTGGCAAGCATTGCCACATTGAACAGATCGAAATCCCGAAACCCCAAATCTCCACGAAATTTACTAACACAAATCGCTGTCCAGGAAATCCAGTGCATCCCTCTTTCTTTATCTTGACCAGCCCACCAAAACCTAGCCAGCTGGCTGTTTAATCAACGACAAGTGGTGGAGGGGAGTCTGAAGGAGTACATGGTGTAGACCGGAGTTGCCGAACCAACCGCCTTAATCATTACCTCTTTTGCAGCCAGTGAAAAGCCTTTAGATCGCCAGCTCTGGATGCGAACCGCGAGGGCATCCTCCACGAAAAGAAACGTGTGAACCTTCGATCTCTGGACTTGAGCAGGTAGGCCAAGATACTTGTCTAGTGGCCCAATTGAAGAAATCCCAAGCAAAGCTGCCATTGCGGCTGCCTCTTGATCCACCAGATTAGCACTAAAGCAAACCGAGGACTTCTGCAGGTTGATGCGTTGTCCGCTGGCTCATATGGTCTCCAAGAAAGCCCTTTCATTAATCCTTAGTTTAATAGGTTTCGATTTTCGTTACTGGCTCTAGTGTATCACGTTTATCTCGTTCAATACAAAGTAACTTTAGTCAACACGCCATGTCATTGCCTCGTCAGCCTAAAATTCATTAAAAAAAATCAAATTATTTTCCTAAATTTTATTATTTATTATCAAATTAACCATAAATAAATTATAAAAAAACATAAATAAATTTATTTTTTTATTTTTTGGGTAATTTGAAAATGATAAATTTTATAAATTAACCAAAAATTATCAAATTATTTTATACTTTTAAAATTATCCAAAAAATAAAATATATAATTTATATCATATTTTTTAAATTTATAAAATTAATTTGATAATTTTTAGTTTATTTATAAAATAAATCATTTTCAAATATCCCATAAAATAAAAAATAAAAATATTTTTTGGTTAATTTAAAAATGATAAATAATATAAATTAGGAAAATAATTTGAATTTTAATTTTTTAATGATTTTTAGGATGACGAAGGCAATGACATGGCGTGTTGACCGTCCAAATTGATGGTCGGACCAATTGAGTCTATATGCTGCATAGTTGAGGCCAGGATGTTAATTTCTGAAACCACGTGCCTAAGTCATCATATGATAATAGTTCGGACCAAAATAAGGTATTAACCCATTCAATGGTTTACTTGCAACCAATTTCTTTCTCCTAAGGCTGCTGGCTAGAGATCTTATTCACGTCGGGATGAAAAGAAGAGCAACGCTAGTTTGGGCAGGACATTGAATATCATGATAATCTCCATATCAACAAGAAGAGGAAGATTGTGGTTAATAGAGAAGTTATTCAAATTTTTGTTTTCATTTTGAACGAACTATAACATTGTAGTTAATGTTATTAACGATATTTGATACTTACCATTGAATCCAAACATTATTTATAATTTTGTCTTAGTTTTGTACGAAATACAATTTCGTGATCAATGACTTGCTCAATTGTCATTAACGGTTTTCAATATCAGTATTGACGACCTGATGCCAATTTTTAATGTTGAAGCCTGTTATTGTTAGATTTTTTAATTTTGAATGAAATACAACATTATTTTGAAAGTTTAATAGCATTTGACACTTAATATAAACTCCGAACTTTATTAATGATTTGTGTTGGTTTTCAATGAAATTGAAGTTAATGATCAATGACATGTTCATTCGTTATTAATGGTTTTCAATATCCATATTAATGGCCCGATGTCATTTTTTAATGTTGAAGTTTACCACCGTTAACATTTTTGTTTTAGTTTTAAATGATATACAACATTCATATGAACGTTTTAGACTGTATTTGACACTTTACATTGAGTTTGGACATTATTTATAATTTTGTTCTTGTTTTCAACGAAATACAATTTCGTTGTCATTGATTTGTTGTATCGTTCTTGTTTTAGTTTTGAAAGTTTTGGATACTTAACATTTAGTTTGAATATTATTAATGACTTTATGCTTGTTTTCAACGAAATACAATTTCGTTATAATGTTTTGTTGTATTGCTATTAACGGTTTGGTGATGGGTTGTGAATATTGGGTTGATTGATGTTTTGTAGCTCCATGAACTAATGTTTGCTTGACTGAATCAAATGTGCCATTCCTCACATGTGTCAAAGATGTTAAAAATAAGCGTTGTGTTATGATTGAAGAGGATGACAATGTAAAGCGATATTAGTTGGTCACAAAACAAGAATAATGTCATTGAAAGTCATAGTAAGAGGCGATGATTGACTAGTTGTGAACATGACGTGAAAACGTGAATTTTTTATAAATACATTGTAAATAAATGATAATGTTATTCAACCATTTAGTGACGATGTGACATAACTTTAATAGTTTTTTCATAAGCATTGATGACGAAAATATAAATCATTAACAATTGAACTAAAATCTTAAGAATGAAATCATAAAACTTTGATAAGTATGTTGAAATTGTTAATATTGATGGAATGTATCAATAATATTTCATTTCATAAACGTTGATAATTTCATTCCAAAATGTTAATAATGTCATTGCAAGTCTTAAGGGGGAGAACGTGGACATTTTTAATTTATTTTCTAAAAACATTAAATATGACTTGTGAAATTATATTTCCATTTTGAATTTCATCAATTATTAAATAATTATATTTAATTGATATATCATATTTGTTCTTTTAAATGGTTAGACTTGATTTTCTCTTTCCTCTTCCTATTGGCCAAGAACTTAAGAACCTCCTTAAATTTTAGGCTTAAGGACAGGATCCGACCCACTTGTCTTGTATTTAAAAAGGTCGCAAAAATATTATGGGTTATTCCACTTTTCATATTCTCGTGAAATTTAGCTGAAACAAATGCAATTCATCATCAAAATGTGACGTTTAGATAACATCTCAAATTTTATCTATTAATCAAAAGAGTGGAAACAATTCCAAACAAATGAAATTATAATCAATAATCAAACTCATGACTCTCAACATTTATGGTAAGGCAAAGGCGTTGCAACGTTGCGGTCTCATCTGTTTTGCTAAGAATTCTCCCTCCTTTTTAGGGTTATATAAGTTGGAACCCTAAAAGGGTACCCACAAATTGTGAAACCCAACCAAGATCCAGTCTCCTCCTTTCTCCCAGTTGCCTTCTATTCATACAGCCCGACACTTTCACGGTTAGCACTTCACGACCGTGACATTGGAGCTCAAACCGTGATATCAGACAAAAACGCATGTCATCGGTGTCGTTTTGGTTAGACATCACGGTCACTGGTCAATTATCACGGTCAAGAGACGATGATAATCTTTAGACCTGCGAGACGCCAAAATTCTTTTGTTTCCCACGATCTTCACGCCCTCCGGCCAAACCGTGATAATTGACTGTTTCTCACTTTTTGGCACTTTTCGACTCCAATCGTCTTGAAACTCGTCCTCGACCCTTCCACACGTGTTGGGACATGAAATGTATCAAAAATAGCACAACCTAACGTAAAATAGGTCGAGGGACGATGAAATGCAAAATCGAACTATCAAGAAATGAGGGGTAACATGTGTGTAATTAGCCCTGAATCAAACAACTAATAGATAAAGGAAAACCCATGGGAACTTTATTCTTCTTCTTCTTCTTCTTCCTAGTTGATTGGATATACTCTTGGAGATGAAATCTGGCCTCCTCTTGGCTTGGATAGGTCAAATCCACTTTCAATTTTCCCTTGTTTGTAGCTTTCTCTATAGGTTAAGGAACAAGAAACTCAATCTCACTCTAAACTCTCATCCTTTTCAAAATCTGATCTCCTCCTTATATAGCTCGACTATGCATGTTTCATGGTTGCACGTCGCGCCCTTGAAGTGTGCAACAAAATTGTGATCTCGACATAGAACTCGTCATTTCATTAACACACTTCACAGTTTCCATCCTGACTTCACCGTTTGGGACCATGATCCTTACATTGTCTGCGAGACAAACGAAAGCTCTTGAAAACCTACGAGCTTCAAGGCCTTCTTGTAACGTTCACGGTCTACTGCCCGTAATAATCACCATGAAACCGTGATTTGTGCACTTTTCACTATTTTGCTCCTTTTTGGATCCCTTTCGTCCGACTTTCAGTCCTTTCGCCCATTTCACCTGCTATGGCCTGAAACATACTAAAATATTCCAAAACCTAGCATAAAATAGCTTCAAGGACGATGTCAAACAAAATAGTGAATAGATTCACTAATCTGACAATCGATTCACTACCACCAATTGATGGTGCTCTATCAACCTAATCGGACATTCCCTCTCCTAGGTCAAAACAATAAATGAAGGAGTGTGATAAAGACTCAAGCAATATCATGAATAAAACCTCAATTGGATAAATAATATTAAGTTTAACAAACCAAAGATCAAACAACAATCATTCCTAACACATAGAACTAGGGTTCTTCATACACAAGTGAGAGAAGGAATTACTACGCGGAGATAGAAAAAGAGAGGAAAATGGGGGAATAAGCAGCCATCATCGTGTAAACGTCAGGAATCTACTTCTCAATGATGATCTTCACTCCAAGGGACTGGAATTGAGCTGCAATGGTCAAAGGAAGACCCAAATTTTCTCCAAGAATGTTCTCTTCATCACTTTCTCTCTAAATCTTTCCAAGCTTGTTTTTAGATGTCAAAAGACCGATTCTCTTCCAAAATCCCATGAAATGGCTCTTAAATATGCAACTGAAAAAAACATGGGCAAAGTACACAGCCGTGTTTCTTCATTCCACCTGTGTTTTCCCAAAATGCAATGTGTAACATAGGTCGACTTATGGAAAACGCTATCAGACTTCATGAGTTTGTATGACCATGTTTGTATTGGCTCGGACCGTGTTTCCTTGCCAAAACTACGATGCAACTTACACAACCCAAATGGGCTAAAACACGGCTAGTGTTTCTTTGCTCCCTTGTTCATATTTCTTCAATGAAAAACAAGGTTTGTTTCTCCATGACATGGTCGTGTTTCTACAAAATCAGTCCAAAATGACTCGTACATTGCGCCTAAGCCTTTCTTCACTTACTAGGACCCAAAATATGACAAATGAACACTAGCTAGCAAAAATAGACCATGGAGTAAGAAAAGTGAAGCTAATTGATCAAGAAATGAGAAAACAAATACAATTTATCACTTATTATAGCCCTAACCGCCGCAGGCCCAGTGCCCAAGGAATCTTTTAGAAGAAGCTTACATTCTTCCTAAGACACATAGTGCGAGTCCAGACGGTACATGGAAGATGGAGGCCGAGTTTTAGAGTGAAATACCCAAGTTTACCCCTCCTTCTTGTACTATAAATAGGAGCTTATGCTTTAGTTGTTAGACATTCTAACACATACAAAATCATTCAAAGTTCTGCCAGGGCAGGATGGAGATACCTTCATCATCTTAGGTGATGTCTTCTCCATCTCTTATGGCTAACTAAACTTGTATTGTTTAGGGATGTGAATTCTATGATGCTTCAATCATCAATGTTCTATGATTGAATGCGATGCTATTGTCATTAGATGCCTCTTTCATTTGATGTTTGTATCAATCTATGCTTTAGTTATCTAATGTTTTAATCAGCATGTGCTTTTATCATCTATTGTGTGTTACTTTGGTTATTGCTTATAATATCAGCATATGTTGCATGAGAAATACATTTTATGTGTATACATCTATTTTAGGTGTGTTTGGAGTGAAATGGCAGTCATTCATGCATGAATGAGATAGATGCATGAGGGAAATGCCCAAATCAAGGTTTGATAGTGGTTGAGAGCCTTTGGATGAGAATTTTAGTAGAATGACATGTTTGATGTAAAAAATAGTAGATGAACATGTTTGATAAAAATGCATAGCAGAAGGACACATCATACCTATTCCTCTATTTTCAAAACCAAAGTGTATGGATCTGGTGATTAAAACAAAAACAAAAAAACCCGAACCACTCGACCCATGTACACTCCTAGTATGTGAGCACCTTCTTATAGACACGAGTAGGGGTGGAAATCGATAAGATATCGGTATCCCAGCGCCAAACTTGAACTATTACCCTAATTTAAGTGACTACGAATGGAATAAAATAATTTTAGTAGCTAACATAAACTTTACTAATAATTCAAGTGACCAAACTTACAATTTAACCATACACATATGTGGATTGGATGGAATCAACGTTTCTGCGCCCAAATTCAGTGACCAATTTCTTTCCCCTTCCCAAAGTAATCAGTTTCGGTTCATGATATCTATGCAACCCTAACCTCCCAATACACATGTCCCCTCTTCTTCCCCATAGTTTTCTTTTCTTTCTTCCACATCAACAACGTGTGTATCCTCTCCTGTTTATTCGCCTACTTCTTCCCTCTCCATAAACAAGCTGTAGTGAGATAATTTAGACTTCCGTCCTCCTCCCCTGATCTCAAACTATCTCTGCTACGCGTCTGATCTTCATTTCAATCCTTCTGATCAATCAATGATATTCTCCAAGCTCAGCCGCTCCACACGCGGCTCCAATCTCTCTAAGGTATTCCATCCGATTATCAGGTTGTTGTTTTCTCCGTGTGTCTAGGGTAACATTTAAAACTACTGATCGTATTCGTGGTTTTTGGTTTCTTTCTAGTGGCAGAATATATCGCTCCGTGGTTACCGCAGATCAGCCATCACCGGCCTGCCGCTGGGAGGTTCGTTTGCCAATCGTATAGACGATGGAGTGGGCTTTCTGAGGAGTTATTTGACTTCTATTGGGGCTGCCAAGAGCTCTGCTGCCAAAACTTCCGTCTCGAACCTCAACGCCATCCTTGCAAACCCTAGACTCCGGCGGTTTTTCTCGAGTGAAGCTCCCAAGAAGAAGAGTGAGCTACTCTTCCCGTGTCTCTCTATCACTGTTATCTTTATATAATGATGACGACGAAAATTAGTAGCTCTTTGGGTTCGCATTGTTGGAATCGCTTTACGAATATGGAGAGATTGCAGTAGAGGTAGATGCATTTTGTTTCTTATCTTGGAAAAAAATAGGCGGGTGTTTGTTTTCCTTGTTCTAGGCAGAGCTGTCTTTTTTAAGGCTTTTGTGGATTCATTTCGGTCCTTTAAATCAATTCATGCTAATTGCAAGAGCCACAAGTGTCAGGACTTGGCTGAGCTGCAGAACCCGGAGTTTCGTGGAATGATATGTAACTGATGCTTAACCTCATGTGTTGCTTGCAGGTTATGAGAACTTCTATCCCAAAGGAAAGAAGGAAGCACCGAAGGGAGATGGGAAGAAATCTGAGTCCAAAGGTGATGCTTCTTTTCTCAGCTTAACCCCGTTTCCTAACTTGGACTGCCAGTATTTAGTTGCAATATCTTTCTAGGGATCAGTGTGTGCTGGAAATGTTAAGAGGTTGCTTGTCAAGTTTAGAGTTAAGTTTCATTATAACATGACACATAAGCTTTCAAAGTTCAGCAGAATAGCTGCTTATTATTTTGAATTTACATCTCCATGTATCATACGATATTGATGCATTTTTATCAAAAGAAATAAGCAGTTTGATTTGCTTGCTAGCTGATCACATGTTTTCGCTTTCCTTTTCCAGAGAATTCAAATGCTGATGATGAATCGAGCTTTCAGAAGATGTTTACGAAACAGTTCAACAATTTACTGACCCCTTTGTTAGTCATTGGGGTGCTTCTTTCTTCTTTTCCTTTTGGCTCGAATGAGCACCAACAGGTGTGTATATCAGCCTTTATTTTTTCTGCACTGTTGCCTGGAAACATTTGTTCTCAAGTGTCAATTCCCACTACTGTCGCACTAATGTTCTCTGCCATTCTGTCAACAGATCAGTTTCCAAGAGTTCAAAAACAAGCTTCTCGAGCCTGGTTTGGTGGATCATGTAGTTGTTTCCAACAAATCAGTTGCAAAAGTTTATGTGAAGAGTGCACCATCAAACCAGACAGGTGGTGAAGATGTCCAAGGTTCTACGACTGCCACCCCTATTAGAGGACGTGGAGGACAATATAAATACTATTTCAATATTGGAAGTGTGGATGCATTTGAGGAGAAGCTGGAGGAAGCACAGGAGGCCTTGGGGATAGACCCTCACGACTATGTACCTGTTACATATTCCTCGGAGGTTGCTTGGTTCCAAGAAGTGTTGAGGTTTGCTCCGACGTTATTGCTATTGGGAACCATCTTGTACATGGGAAGGCGAATGCAAGGTGGGATAGGCCTTGGGGGCGGTGGTGGAAAAGGTGCACGTGGTATATTCAACATAGGGAAAGCTCACATCACCAAAGTGGATAAAAATGCTAAGAATAAGGTATGTTACTTTTCATTGGTTAACAGCATGGTTGTCAAACCGGTTTATGCCAGTGTGCCGGTTTAGTAAGTGGAATGGTTCGACCGGTGGTACATATCGGTTTGTGCCGGTTCATACCGGTTAATATTACAAATAATTTACAAATACTCATATTTAAACACGACATTTAACGTCAATACCCAAAAGATCACTGAGACCGAAGATGTTTGATGACTATTATTCACTCGAGCTGTCTACTTACTCTTCGCACATCTTTTTTTCTTTTTGTTTTATTTTGACATATTGAGCTGTTCCAGGTCTATTTTAAAGATGTTGCTGGCTGTGATGAGGCAAAGCAAGAAATTATGGAATTTGTGCATTTCCTTCAGAATCCTAAAAAGTATGAGGAGTTGGGAGCAAAGATTCCAAAAGGTGCTCTTCTAGTTGGTCCTCCGGGGACTGGGAAGACTCTTCTAGCCAAAGCAACTGCTGGGGAATCTGGGGTGCCATTTTTATCCATTTCTGGCTCTGATTTCATGGAGATGTTTGTTGGTGTTGGTCCATCTAGAGTGAGGAATTTGTTTCAAGAAGCGAGACAGTGTGCTCCAAGTATTGTATTCATTGATGAAATCGATGCGATTGGCAGAGCAAGGGGACGTGGTGGCTTCAGTGGTGGCAATGATGAAAGGGAAAGTACCCTCAATCAATTGCTGGTAGAAATGGATGGCTTTGCTACTACTGCTGGGGTGGTTGTGCTTGCTGGCACTAACAGACCGGATATACTAGACAAAGCTCTTCTGAGGCCTGGAAGATTTGACCGGCAAATTTCCATTGACAAGCCAGATATAAAAGGCCGTGAACAAATATTCCAGATCTATTTGAAGAAACTGAAGCTTGATCAGGAACCGTCATTTTACTCTGAAAGGCTTGCTGCCCTCACTCCTGGATTTGCTGGAGCAGATATTGCAAATGTTTGTAATGAAGCTGCTCTAATTGCTGCAAGGAAGGAACAAAAAGTAATCAATATGGAACACTTTGAGTCCGCAATAGACAGAGTAATTGGTGGTTTGGAGAAGAAGAACAGGGTAATCATAAATTGTGTGCTTTGGAATTCCCTGAATTTGTTGATCAAATTGTTTCATGATGTGCACTCTTCTTTTGTTTTGGGAAGGAGCATTATAACTTAGATTTCTTTCTCGTTTTCGGCAATCAGGTAATAAGCAAGCTGGAACGACGGACTGTTGCCTACCATGAGTCAGGTCATGCTGTAACCGGCTGGTTTTTGGAGCATGCAGAGCCACTCTTGAAAGTGACGATAGTTCCTCGTGGTACAGCTGCGCTTGGGTTTGCTCAGTATGTTCCTAATGAGAACCTTCTGATGACCAAGGAGCAACTTTTCGATATTACTTGTATGACCCTTGGTGGTCGAGCAGCAGAACAGGTAACTTGCAATCTCATCCGTATCTTTTATAAGTATGGGCAGAAGTGAGATTTGTTTCTTGAAACTTAGCGGAAGTGAGATTACTAGGATCTTTGGTGGAAACTATAATTGATAGGGAGGAAAATCAATCTTGAAGCGCTTGCCATGTTCTTTTATTGTCTTGTTTCATATTCCAATTAGAAAGGCCAGTCATCTTTGAAGAACGTGTGGAACAGATGAAGGTGGGATACAATATGGGTGTGCTTTTCTCTTAGCAGAACCATCTAGTAGAAATGTGTGCCTGGTTGGGTTGATGAGAAAATCAATAAGATGGAATATGATGATGGGAAGATAGTCAATTCTAATTTGAGCAATGAGGTTGCTATGGGAAATGACAAGTTGCTTATCTTAAGCCAAATCAAACATGAAGTCTTGTCTTTTGTTGCATTGCTTGAAGGCCAAACCTGAATTCTTAACTTCACCTGTTATGTAGGTATTGTTGGGGAAAATCTCAACAGGAGCCCAAAATGACTTGGAGAAAGTGACAAAAATGACGTACGCCCAAGTAGCGGTGTATGGTTTCAGCGACAAGGTGGGACTTCTGTCTTTCCCACAAAGAGAGGAATCATTTGACATGAGCAAGCCGTACAGCAGCAAGACAGGGGCCATTATCGACGGGGAAGTACGAGAATGGGTGGGCAAAGCATATGAACGCACATTGCAAATTGTAGAAGAGCACAAGGAGAAGGTTGCTGAGATTGCTGAATTGTTGCTGGACAAGGAAGTTCTCCACCAGGAGGACTTGGTCCGGGTCCTGGGGGAGAGACCGTTCAAGGCACTCGAAGCTACAAACTATGATAAATTCAAGGAAGGTTTTAAACATGAAGAAAAGCAGGGTGAGAGCAGCACGACGAGTGTGGAGGAGGAAGACGAATCGCCACCAATAGAGGTGGTACCTGCCTGAACCTCTGAACGACACTCTTGGTGTTTGTGTTTGTACATCTCGACTGATTGGATTACTGCATTGAGCCGTCTCTTTCCGTAGCCCCTCCTACTTCCCTCTCCCCATGGACGTTGTAAAATTTGATTAGTTGCGCAATAATTTATGGATGGTTGATATCATCTGGTTTGTCTTTGCGAGGAATGCATTTCGTGTTGGCGCAAAGGGGAACTATTTATGAGAATCAAGTGCCATTGCTTGTTGTTGTCTGGGCATGAGGTGACGGATTATGAATTTTTTTGAATGCCAACTCGTTAGACGTTGAGGGTAGATCGAATGAATTTGCCGAAAACAGTGATGGAACTCCATGAGCGACGTAAGTTTTTTTTTTGTATGTTGTATCTATTGAGAGAAGAGAATGAATTGATTGTGAAGGTTTATGAGAACGAGACAATACATAAACTCGATCTGTTCCTCAGACACTTGGCTGACATAATTGTGTGCAAGTTGTGGGGGTTCAGCAGCTCAAAAATTGGTTGTGAGAAGAGAGTAAATTGATAAACATGAGAGGCACCAAAGCTAGGAAAGAGGGCAAAAACTACAAAGGTGGACCAAGTATATAAATTATGATGAAGAGTCGTAACTAGCTAGCATAGGCATGGGCACGGGAGGTTGGGTTGGGCTGGGCCCCTACTGCAAATCAGGATCAGGTCGTTAGCCCATAATTAAAGAGTAGGAAAATCCTTAGCACACACCTGGCAAAATCTGGTAGATGGGAAGAAGAGTAAACCCATCTGTGATGTGCCCAACACGTGGCGGCAGCAGGACGAGCATGATGTGGACGCTGGGATATGTGGAAACGCGTCGGCTGTCCCATTGAATAGATATCACGTTCTCCATCTATATTTCAACCAATTTCCATCCTCTAAATTATACTATTGATTGATGTTTTAGTCCTTAGAAGGAGAGAATTGATCCTTGTTTGTTTTTTTTTTTAAATAAAGGATTTGAAAAAGGAACATAGAATATAATTTTTTTAAATATCAGTATGTGCTTTTATTTCATTGAATCATATCCCCATAAATTGTGATTCCAAGATATTTCTTCTTTGTCTTGAGAATGAGTTTACATCGTTGAACCACTAAATTTAAGAAGTTGTTTAAGTGACTGTTGATTGTTAGTTAATCTTAAGTAGTTAGTAATTACTTAGGGGATATTAGTGGTATGTTGGTTAGTTAAGAATACTTAGGGATTTTTTGAATTATTTTAAACCTAACTTAAATAAATAATTTAGAGGGTGGGATTTTTTCCCCTTCCTCCCAACCCTAGTTATCATAGGATTAATCTATGGTTTACTTGCTACACTTGATCTTAGTCAAAAGGCAATTAGGTTTTTATCATTCAGATTTGTTGTTTAGTAGATGTTGCTCACTCTGCCGGTGGCTTTGCAGTAGGTTGGTCCGTGGAGATTACGATCTCATTTTAATGTAGTAATTCCTTTTTTGTGGCTTTGAATTTGAATAAAGATCGATTGAATTATGTGGTGATTTTCGTTTACTTGAGCTGTAATTGTACTGCTAAGACGTTGCAACTTCAACGAATTGCCAATTTGTGTGCCCACTTAAGGGTTCCCTTCATGATAGTTTGGGATTTTAATATATACCATCTTAGGAGAAGGAAGGTCGCCTTCCATGGCGTCCAAGTCATTTTGCTAATCTTCGGGGATATGTTGATGATTTGGGACTACATGAGCTTCCTTTTAAGGGGCCGACTTTTACATGGACTAACAAGCGGGATCTGAGCCGTGTGGTTCAAGAGGTTGGACAGAGCGTTTGTCTCAGAAGAATAGGTATTACAATTACCAGGATCCATGATTCATCATTTATCGGATCATTGTGCACTTTTGTTTGTCATCGAGGACATTAAGAGACCAGGTAAATCGGTGTTCCGATTCGATGTTCGATGGGGAGAAAATCCTGAGGTCCGGACAATGACCAAATTTGTTTGGGAATGGAGTTTGAGGGTTCTCCTATTAAACACTTGCCCAATTTTGCACCCGGTCGTTGGTTAAGTTTGGCGATCAATTGGGAAATATGTAGTTAGAGTCGAGTCACTCCTTCTCAAACTCCATCATAATCTATTGCATGTATTGCAAAATTTGTGGAGGCGCATTAGAGACAACACTGCATGTGCTCCGGTACTGGCGTACTGCCCGTTTGCCAGAGCAACTCGGGCCGCTTTCCTGTAGGAAGAATCAGATGATGACTTTTTGGGACTCAACTTCGAAGACTAGATGGTGCACTACATTACTAGGAGTAGTCGAGCTATTGATAGTACCCTCTTTGCTGCTGCTTGTTGGCTTCTGTGGAAGAACCGGAATAGCTACTGTTTTCACGGTGAATTGCAGTCTTATACTCAAATCCCATTTTTACTCTGCATAATTGCGTCAACAAATCATTACCTTAGGGAAGGAGGACCAGGTCATCGGATCCAGGTGACTCCGAAGATCGCATTTTATCAATTGGCAGTCACCTCACCCAGGTTGGACCTGGCTGAACACGAACGAATTAGTGACCCATCCTCCTTCCAATATTGTGGCTTGCGGTATCGAGACGATGACAACTTCATAATAACTTTCACGTTGAACCTTGGAGGGGGGGGGGGGGATTCAATTACTAGTGGAGAGTTAACTGAAATTTGCATGGATCGAAACTCACTTGGGAGGCTAGAGTTGGAGAGGTTCTTCTGCAAAATGAATCGATCATGACCATATCTTTTATTGAGTCGGCCACTCATCTTCACTACAAAATTGTCGGTGAGATTTGACGCTGGCTCGCACGAGATTGACAGGTTGACATTGTGCATGTTTATAGGGAGGCGAACATTGTCGCAAATTACTTAGCCAACCTAGGCCACTCTTTTTCTGTCGGTTTCCATTCTATTGTTGCAACTGATAGTGCGTTGTTTTGTTTGTTGTACCATGACGTTATTGGGATTCAAACAACCCATTTGGTTCCGGAAGAAGGGTTGGGATGCATTTTAAGCGCTCCGCATTCTCACCAAGAAGAAAAAAAAAAGAGCCTCAAGGACATAGACCTGGAATCCAACATTGAAATGTACCTAATAAATGTTTATGGAGTTTATAAAAAAAGAAAATAGATGTTTCTGGATTCAAATGTGAAAATAAATATCTCAAGTACTAAAATGCTGGCCAAAATTATCTAGGGGTTGCAAGGGAAACTGTATTTCTTTCTTTAAAAAGGAAAGAGGCTCAGCGTCGACTGAAACTGACAGGCAGTTGACGATCAATTCCTCCCAGATTAAAAGAATTATTATTTTTTTATTTCCATTCAACTGCCCACCTCCACTCCTTTCCTTTTCGATCATCATACAATAAATAAATAAATAAATAAAAATAAAAACTATCACTCTCTCTCCTCCTTTCCTCTCTATTTAATACCCTCCCAAATACCACACTATATTCCCATTGTTCGATCCTTGTACGTTGCGGCTTCTCTCTGCCATTTCCATTAGCTTCTCTCTGTCTCTGTTCCATTCGCCTTCGTTCAACTCTCTGCCTCCATTGATTTCGGGTAATGTAGTTTGATTGTTGTTGTTTTCTTGCTTCATTTTCGCATTTCCCAAACTCCCTGCCTTTCTTTCGTGCTTGTGTTCTGTTGAAGAATGCTTCGACTCTCCCGGCGCTTCGCCGTTTTCTCTTCCCCTCCGCTTCCCCTAATAATTGTATATAGTGCCAATGGGTTCGCCATTCCCTATTTGCGTCTGCCAAGGGATATGCCAAAGTTTGAATCTTTAGGGGGGGATTCTTCTCTTTCCCCTCTCAATGCTCTGCCATAGAACCTACGTCTTTCCCTTTGCTTGATCCAACTCCAGAAATTGCGTTTTCCTTCTTCCAAAAATTTGGTGTGTTATAAACTCAATCGAGATCACCCCACATTTCCTCTTCCATTTCTTATATCTCTCTCCTCTCCCCCACTGTTAAGAGTTAAAAGTTGCCCATTTTCTCTTCTATCTTTTGATTGCATTTTCTGGTAATAGTGTGCTTCCGGAGGTCCTCTAATATGATTTTGGATTGATTACATCTCCGTCTTTCCTTCCAGTTGATTTGCTTTGCTGGGTCGGTTTGGAATGGGAATGCAGATTAGATTACGGATGTTTTATGTAATGACCCCTATTATGTTTCGCTTGATTTGTTCTTGCAGTAGTTGTTTTGTTCCTATCCTGAAGAAGAAACGAAATGGAGTACGGAGATGGTGATCAGCAGCATAACGGTCTCAGCCAGAAATACGATTGTCTCCTATTCGGTGAGTCCATTTGCTAGTGCTCGTCCTGTTCTGGGTTTCTGGGTTTGATGATTTTACTTGCCTGGTCTGAAATGATGAAACACATTTGATCTGGGTTGTGTAGATGTGGATGATACACTATATCCATTGAGTTCTGGTCTGGCGCCACAAGTTGCAAACAATATTCAAGGTGATTCAACATATCCTTCATTTCGTGTTCTAATGTCTGTGAACTCGATCCAACAACTCTAAATGGATGGACATGGTACTTTTTTTTGCTCTAGATTACATGACTGAAAAGCTTGGCATCATGGAAAATAAGGTCCAAGAGTTGTGCCTATCACTCTATAAATACTATGGCACCACATTAGCTGGCCTCCGGGTATGTATGAATGGCATTGTCTTAATTGATTGATTTTCAATTGGCTGTGCCATATGTTATAATTTTATATTGTAATAATTCCAAGTTGAGACACTTTTGCTGTTTGACTTATTCTGCAGGCAATTGGCTATAAATTTGATTACAATGATTTCCACAGGTACTCATTACCCCATTGTGTTTCTGCCCAGTTTGTTGTTCTCTCAAACAACGCGTGGCTGGAGTCATATAACGAGTATTATCTTCATGTTGATGCTGTAGCTTTGTACATGGACGATTGCCTTATGATACCTTGAAGCCAGACCCGGTTTTCAGGAACCTCTTACAGAGCTTGCCCATCCGCAAAGTGGTAAGATTTTGTTTGCTTTCATGTGCTATTACTATTTCCCTACTTCTCTCCATCATTCCTACCTTCTCCATTCTCTAGTTAGGTTGATTGATGATGCCTTTTGTGCTTGTTGCTTTGCAGGTGTTCACCAATGCAGACAAAGCTCATGCGGACAAGGTACTGCACAGGCTGGGACTGGAGGACTGCTTTGAACAGATCCTGTGCTTCGAGACCTTAAACGATTCCACCAAAGGGAATGATGCCGTGGAAGACGAAGAAGCAGCTGAAGTCTTCGACATCAATGAGTACAGTGCTGCTCCAAGCGTTGGCATATCTCTCCCCAAGTCGCCTGTTGTCTGCAAACCTTTCGAGGAAGCTTTCGGAGAGGTCTTCAAGATTGCATCCATCAACCCTCATCGAACGGTAACATTGACTTTCTTTCGTCTCTTGCTTGGGTGCTTATGTTCTCTTGCTATAGCTGGCTGCAAAACTAAGCAGTTACCTGTTTTCACTGTCTTGCAGTTGTTTTTCGACGACAGCCTTCGTAACATCCAGACGGGGAAAAGAATGGGACTGCACACTGTGAGGGTGAGCAATGACAGAAACTTTCTGCTATAATGCCATACCATTGGAATCTGTTAGGTTGGCGACATACTAATTTGTATTTTGGTTCAGGTTGGCACTTCCAATCGAACTGAAGGTGCGGATTACGCCCTGGAGAGCATCCACAACATCAAGGAAGCTCTGCCAGAGCTGTGGGATGCAGCAGCCACTGATAAAACAGATGGGATGAGATACTCCAAAGAAGTTGCTATTGAGACCGAAGTGAAGGCCTAGGATTTTGTTTGTACTTAGTCTGGATCTAGCTAATGATCCACCAGCCTGCTACCCCATTAACAAAGTGCCGCCTAATTATTGTTAGAACCTGTATCTTTCGTCTTTAGCAGTTTATGTCAACCTTCTCAAGGTTTTGACTTTCCTTCAGCTGTATGGATTATGGTAAAATGGCTCGTAGAAGCTTTAGCTTGCAGTCCATTTTGGACTCTTATGTACAATCTAAACTTCTATTATTATCATTATTAACATGATGATGATTAGTACTATTAATGCCATTAATAATATATATCAACTGAAATTCGTTCCTAAATTTACGTCAAGAAAATGCCAAATACTTCAGACTTCTGTTCTGTAAGATTAAAGAACTCTGCCAACTACTTGAGACTTCTTTAAGATTAAAGAACTCTGGATGTATTTACTGAACTGTTTTTAGGAATGTGCAATGGTCCAGTCCAAACTAACGGAAATTGCGGTTAAATGTCAATACGGTCCATTTTTCTTTAGTACTTATAATATTCATTAGATCCAATAACCAGATCAAATTATATTAGGTTCGGTACGATTCAGTCCAGATGCCGATTTGGTCGAATCTGTATACACACCCCTAACTGTGTACATAGAAAATGAACTATGAAAGAGCCAACTATTACACGGACGAATCTGTGCTCTACATCTCTTGTGGGCTAAAAGCTATCGCCAAATACTAATCCTTGAGTGTATATTTCTTCCCAGTGAATGCATGGAACTTTGGTTCTTGCTCCCCTTTCTCTGGCTCTTGACTTCTTTTCTTTGCCGGGATCTGCAAACAAAATGAAAGAAAGGCTCTGTTCATATGGGAGAGTTATCTTTGAACGCTTTACCGTAGATAGAGGCAAGATAACTAAATGCTTACATTTGTGGTTTCATCTCTTTCTCGGGGGCGCTTTTGGTTGGCACCAAAGATCAATTTCCCAGACTGCTGAACCGAAGCAGAGGCCAACGCAGACTTCGAATCATTGCTGTTTTCTTTGCCCTCTATCTGAGGTTGTTTGACAACAGAACTTGCAGTTGATTCAGCTAGTTCTGCTAACTGTTTGCCATCAAGTCGTCTCGATGAACCGGTAAATGCATTGAACTTCTTTAACGGTGGCTCCTCCTCTAGAACTACAATGTTCATGATTTAAATAAGTAGTGAAACCATAGCTAGCCCACAAAGTTGAGATATAGAGAAGAGAAGAAAAAACCTTCAGGTAGGGCGTTGTTGGCCTTTGAAGTAGGAGCAGGTTTCTCAGGTTCTTTATAATCCAGAGGTGGAGCGAAGTCTACTTCACAATCTGTTTCCACAACGCTCACTGCAGCAGAGGGTTTTGTCTCCACTATATTGATGTAGTACTTCTTGTCGTTGTATGCAACCAAGATGGTATCACCGGTTGTCAAACAAGAGTAATTCCTCAAGGAGGTCTCCAAACTGATGAGTTAACAAGATGAAGCTGAGTGAAGGAAACCAAAAATATATGCAATGTAGTAAAAAGGATCCTTATGTTGGAAACAGCTGAAATCACTAACATTGCTTTGGGGTTGGAAACATCTAAGAAGTCCATGGAGTGTGGCTGCAGTTTGACATAAGTTCCCTTTTCCAGGCTGGCATTTCTCAGCTGCACAAGATCTCCCTCTTGCAGGAGGAGGTTCTCCATCATCTGTGAATTAAGCCCGTAAGTAGCAATTTGAGGGGACAGCCATATTATGCACTAGATAAGAAATAAGTGTACCCAATATGGCAAGTAGATCAAACCCTCTTCTGCAACGAATTCGAGAACTCCACAATGTGTGACTCGTTCAATAGAAGGGTTATGGAGCTCAAAGAGCATTGGGTAGTCAATATGAAGGGATGCTGGCAAACCCAAAAGAAATCAGCTCATAGTAGTAACAAAATCATAGAAAAGCAAAAGCAAAATCTGATTATATGATCTACTAACCCAGTCGTTCAAGAGCTGAGGGTGGCATGATAACTGCAGCCAAAAGAAACAACAAACACATTATTACACATATAAAAGGCTATCTGAATTGCATGACGTAACCAGACACGCAGCTGAGATAACCATGCCCGATACTCATAGAACTTGAAACTAGCAGATCACCAAACCTTTGTTTCCTTTCTCCAGATGCGGCTGCAAAACGTTAGAAACGATATGAGACAAAGTTGCAGACTAGAAAGACAAGCGATTGTAGCGTTAAAAATACTCCTCTAGTCATCTTAGTACTATAAACAACTTTCCCAAACCTTATCCAGGAAAGCGACAGGGTAACAGCGGTAGAACTGTTCAAATGTTGAACTTGAAGGGTCTTGGCGATCCTACATTTGTCCAAACAACGAGGAAAATCAACAAGAGAAATCAATAGAGCAGCACTTCTTTGCAAACCTTCAGCAACTCAAATATGAATTATGCTGCTCAAGAACTGCTGATACATTAAAATGAAGGACCCATGAACCACAATTCACAATGAAATTGTTCCATGTACGATTCTGGCGAAACAAACATGAATATATTGAGTTATCGCCGTACCATCTCTGTCTAGCACACTGTGTATTAGAAAAGCATCAACAAATCCCTGAAGAAATCAGAGACAGATCGCTCAGAAACAAAGAAGGAGCAAAACCCAGAAAAAATTCGATCGGAAATCAAGCTACAATTGGATCGATCGGTCCGAGGTCGACTACTAGCACAGTCGGTCGAGTGAGGAAGAAGAAGAGCGCTCGATTGCTTCTTTCTTCGTTTGTTTTATAGGTTAAGGGATTCTAATCTTGCTGTGACCGTGTCCATATGAAACTGTGTATCTGACGAAAGATGAGATTCATTTACAGCCGTCCGATTTTTCTCCCGGATTCTCCGATTGGGCTTTTGGCTCGTGGAAAAAGGCTTTAGTGTGTATTGGGCTTGATTAATAGAAATGACAAAGTCACTTCCCCAATCCGTTGCCGAACCGGATTTTAATCTGCAGATTTGGAGCCCTAATTTTGACAGAGAGCGTCTCCTCCGTTTCAATTTCCCAATTTTTCCCAAGTGGGGTGGCAAGGACAGCAGCAGCCCCAAAAAGTCGCTGCCGGGAAGCAGCGGTCAACGAAGTAAGGAGGTAAAGCGAGGAACTTTAGCGATTCGGTCGGTTTTCGTTTAGAATAGGGCACGGAGATGGCGAAGCGCGAGATATCTAGCACTCTCAAGAACTTGAAGGTGAGAAATATGGCTTTGAATTTTTGGGTTTTGCTTGGATTTGCGTGGTTATAGAAGCTGGGTTCTTCACCTTGTTGATTGCTCGTTCACTTCCTTGTCTGAATTTCTTGCTCGTTTCTGTTTTCCGTAATAGTTCATGCAAAGGGGAGCCCTTAAAGAAGTGAAACCCCAAAAACAAGAAGAGGTTCAACCAAGTGGGAATTTCCGCTCACCGGGAGGTATTAGAAAATGGTATGTCTCCGGAGCATATTCTAGTTGATTATACATTCAGAATAGAGAAGCGATTATTTTTTTGTTGATTTTGTACAAAAGTCTGCCACCATCTCCAAGTTTGGTCCTTGAGAACTGTGTCTTTCGGTAGTACCGCAGCCCTATAGTCTGAGCAAAGATGAGTGCATTCCTACATTCCAGCACTTCAGGCATCTGGAGGTTAACTATTGAATTTAAGTTTTATTCTTGTGCATCTCATCCAATGGTACGAGACAACATGGGGGTGGAAGTTTGAGGGGTTTGTTTAGGATATGTGGCGGTTTAGGATTGTGTTTCTACTTGTAACTGCTGCAATGTCTTCTGCGTTGATCTCATATATTCTCTACATTTAGAGGTTGGAATATTATTTCGATCGGTTCCATTCAAAGGAAGATTATGACCGGGTATTTCACGAGGTCTGACGCATATTTCTGGTATTTGCCTGTTATCCATATACAGTGTGGTAATAATGGAAGGTGATCCCCACCCTACTGCAGCTATAGGCCGGTTGTCATTTGGAAGTTTCAATCCTTCTGTCGATGTGAGTGTAAAGGGTCTGAGAGGCCTCTAAATCTTTCATCTGCCACTTAATAAAAAAATTGGTGTGCCCCTCTCTAGGGTTCTTCTGCCACTCTCACATATCCAACATTGTTGTCTTGATAGAAACTAAATGAAGAAACAGCGAACCTTGCTTCTCCAGAACCAGCGAACCTTGCTTCTCCAGAACCAGCATCGTCATCTGGTGGTCACACAAAAGCAAAGGCATCTCTAAGGTTGGTGTCCGATTTGTTTCCTTCCGATCACTCTTCCTTTTTCACTTGCTAGGTAGTGGAAGCACTCATTTAGATCACTCTTCTTAGTTGTTCACTTGAAATTTTAGTTGTGTTTGGTGTACAAAGTAGATTTTGAAAACGCTCTGTATTTTTGTTCTGTGTTTGGTAGAGAAAATGGGTTGTCACCGGATGGTGCAGAATGCTCGGACACAGCCATGGCTGACTCTCATGGAAGTGGAGACCAGAAAAGGAAACAGCCTGATGTAGTTTCTGAAACAGAAAACTTTAATACATCAGCAAAAGCCATTGAAGGTGGAGATCAGTCAACAAGGAAGAAGAGCAAGAAAGCTTCTTTTAGGCAGAAGCACCAAAAGCTGGACTTCGCCGTTCTGAGAGCAAAGACTGAAAATAAATGAAGAGTAATGATGGTTTAACTATTAAGTGGCTGTATCAATGATGTGTTAGAAATCCCAGTTTTGTCAGCATTCTTGAATGTCTTAGTCACGAGCCTGTACTTGACAAGTTTAACCTTCTTTATAATGATTTCAAGGCCGAATTGAACTTGTTAAGAAGTTACAATCTGCTTTGCAGCTTTCGTCATGTTAACCTGGTGAATATACTTGTACAAGCTGAATGTTGCCAAAAGCTGAACCTGGTGAATATACTTCTACAAGCTGAATTGAACTAGAATGACACGATTAGAGGTGTATGGACTTTCGTGTTATATGATATTATTTATATGTCTTAATCCTTATAGACCATGTTTTTGTCAATAATTGCATATACCCGCCATTTGTGGGATTAATATTGAATATGCTTTTATGATTTTTTGAGGTGTTGGATATGATTTTGCATTATTGTTGTATTTGAATTCATAAGTGGGAAAAATACTTCCTGAGGTGACATGTTGATGTGAGGATGACTTGCACAAAGGTTTACCCAATGAAGTGCAATTATATGACTCATGGTTTACCGCACATATGCATAAGTCAAGGCAGTTGACTCTTTTGCCTATTGGGATGTCTTGATGGTTGAGGTCTGGTCCTAGTGTTTTGCCTTGACTGCTAGATGTATGATAGGGTCGTGTATGCTTTGTTATGAACTCACTATGTGATGATTATCTCACTCAGCCTATGAGCTGATCTTCTTTCATTCTTTTGCTCTGTCTGCTTATGTAATGTGTAAGTAGATCATTAGGTACAACAGTAGTTATCTACATAGGTACAAGCAGAGCTACGAATTGAAGGCAAGATAGGTATGGTGTTAAACTATTTTGTCCTTGGACGACTTCAGAATTTTTGGCAGTGGTCTACACTTTTTTGTCAACATGTTTTGAGAACAATTTTCAGGGTAAATTGCAAGGTTGATCACTGAAAGTGCTAAAATATTCACGTTTGGTCAATAAAAGAATTTTATTCCATTTGTGGTCACTGAAAGTTGTTAACGTTTCACGATTAGTCACTCTCCGTTAGTTTCCATTAACACCGTTAGTGGTTTGCTGACGTGGCAACCAAAAATGCTGATTCATCCAATGCTGACCTGCTACGTCATTTAACTTGACTTGCCACATCATCATACCCAACACACTGCCAGAAAGTGCTATTGCTATCATCTCCGTCTCCCCAACCATCGACAATTTCACCTCCGCACTCCAATCCCACTCCACGCCGATGCCGATTGGACCTTCAAGAATATCCCGCTGCCTTCTCTGGCCAAGCTAGATCTGGCAGAATCGCCTATTTGCCTCGCCTTCAATGCTACAAAACTCAACATTCACGGCTATATAGTTCCCCCTTTGGTGACGTTGAGTGCAATACACATCGGGCTGCTACTATTGAAGGCCTGGTAGAGATGGGTTGACGATGGTGTTATTGAATCCCTTTGCAATGGTTGATGGCGACAGTGGGGATTAGAGGTTGATGGTGACCGAGAAGAAGGGACTAAGAAGGTGGGCCAGAATGAGGTTTTCATTTGGGCCAATTTAGTTTTAGGTCGGGCAGGTCAATAAGGAGGGTTGGGTTGGGTAATCTAACAAGGCTGGTAAAACTGACGTGGCATATCCGGTTTTATGATGTGGCAGGTCAAAATTGGATGAATCAATATTTTTTGTTGCCACATCATCGAATCACTAACGGTGTTAATGGAAACTAACGAAGAGTGACCAATCATGAAACGTTAACCACTTTCAGTGACCACGAATGGAATAAAATTTTTTTAGTGACCAAACGTGAATATTTTAGCACTTTCAGTGACCAACCTTGCAATTTACCCACAATTTTCATGTACATACTAGTTTCAGATGTGGTGCATCCACACGCGTGGAAAGCTGAATATAGGTGTAAAAATCTCCTCCCCATGCCCTTCCTCAATTTCTCCAGCTAGGGTCTCTTTTTTTGCTGCTGTAGCTCAATCTCATCTATTTGAGTATATACTCGCGGAAAAGGCTAAGAGTGCCATATCCGAATTGGACCAGACGTGCAAACAGGAAACCAAGAAAGCAGGGAAGAAGCACAGCCTAGTGTTAGCCAAAGGCTCTTATTCTCACGTTATCCATTTACATTCGTCAACCAGTTCCAGGTCCATCAAGGGAAAGAATCAACCATGAAAAATTACTGCAAATATCCAATACTACATTACCAAATACCCCCCAACTCCACAACTGCTATCCCTTGCCTGTAGCCTCGTTTCTGTACATCATAGTAACAGAAAAATACAAATTCAACTAACAACTAGACATCTCTTACAAACCAGCAATTAACCTAAATTGGGTTCTTCAGCAAATCCACTTCTTTAAGGTATAGCTACCAGACGAGCAGGAAAAGTACAAGAGTCTGAGAGTTGCTGCTGATTGAGCTGTTGTTGGTGGGACCAATAGGCATGAGCAGTTAGAACCCTGTCCAGCAGTTCTTGGGGTACTGGCTCTCCCCTCCTTTGTTGTGGGGATATTCTTGCCGTGTGCACCAGTGTTTTCCACTTGTCCTGGTCATACAAGGAAAGAAAAATGAGCAGCCAGATCAGCTTAACCAAACCAAACCCCATATTTTGTAGTAGCAGTAAATGATGGTACCAAACCAAGAGTGCACACAGATAGGTATTAGATCATACATGCAAAGAAGGTTGCGAGACAGGGATATCCCACGAGTATTCGAAAACCGAGAGATGAAGATGGGTTTGCCAAACCCACCTTACAGCTACACACACTCTGGTCAATACTCCTAAAATGGTTCAAAACATACAAGACATCTCAACCTCATTTTCACCCTCTTCTTCTGGGTTTGCTTCTAATTCCGGTCAGATTCCCGATTTCCCAATGTACGAACACACAAAATGTGATGGGAAGAGAGATAACAGATGGATCTAAAACAAACCCCATGTGACATCAAGATCAGAACAGCTAGTCGTTTGTCTGCAACATAAAAAGCCACACAAATCTGGAACTACGTAGTATAGAAAAATGCCTCTCATCATTTTCCATTTAAACGAATATAAAGAATTAGAATTCCATAAATTTGTTAACCTGGGTGGTCCACAAATCCACGTAATTCTGACAACCTCAACCACTTATTCTGACAGGGGTCTTGTGGATTTTATAAGACTAAAAGATTTTATTACAACTGAAACCAAGTTCATCCATCCAACATAAACCAATAGGCAACATTATATTATTTTCATATAATAATAGGCCAACATATCGAAAGAAAAGAGATAAACATATACCAAATAGCATAACAAAACTTGCCTTCAAATCCACGTAAGTTCGGTGCTTTGCATGATGAAAAGCTCTCACTTTCACATCACGCCATCTGCAGAACATGAACACCAGAAAACTTATGAATCCATTTACCACCGACCCATGTGTTGCTTAACTCAAAGAGGGAATTCACTGAACAGCTTCCATACCTCCCAGTTCCAATTTGTTCAACTGCTTGTACCAATGCTTCAACTTCAGTTACAGAGAAAGGTCGACGAATTCGGCGCTGAGCCATCTCAGCTTGCTTGGATTTCCGGTTGGCTGAAATCATAGTTAGTGCACCTGCTGTACCATTCAGAGCTGGTGCTGCCACCAGTGCTTTTGGGTCGTTAGTGCTTTGATCAATTAAGTGGTCTGTAGGGGAAGGAGCCGAGTCGTGGTCACTTTCAACCAAATTCCCCACATTGACCGTTTGAGGCTCAGGAGAAGCAGCACTAGTACCCTGATGCACTGCACTTGGAGTGTGCCGATAACTGGTATGAAAAGCATCATAACAACAATGAGCTACTATGTTACTAAATTGGAAAACCCAGGGAGGGGGAATAACATGAGCTAATTAGCAAGACGACCAACTTCAATCCTTCTACATTTCCTCGAATCTGAGAAGTTAGCTGAACATAAGTGATTGTGAAATTAAGCAAACCCAAGGAAATAACAGTTCCTCGCCAGGTGTTGTTCCCATTACCTGCTAAGAGGGTGTGGTGTCTGGCGGGAAACCGTAGAAGTGAAATCTCCTGAGCACGCAGAACCATTGCTATGCAAGGGATTAGGCTCAAGACTAAAACCTAGAGCATCAGAGTGGTTACTGTTAGAGAGTCCAGTCTGCAATAACGTCTTATGGTCATCCCTAAGCTTCCTTCCCTGAAGAAGAACACCAACGCGCACTCCGCCTCCAAGTATTGCTGTGAAAGCATCCACCACAGTCCTCTACAGAAAGTGCAACGGTTTATGAACAGGCGTGCGATCGATGGTAACGTAAATGCATAATGATAAGAGGATTTCAAACATAATTTCCTCACACTCATGTTGAAAAGATAATTATCAGCTTGTCTTACGGCAAGTTCATGCAAATGTACCTTCAAGGAACCAATGGTAGCAGTCTCTGGGATCTCAATGAAAAGCTCAGGCACCTTGAATGACTTTATCCGAAGCTTAACTGAGCAAAGGGAAGGAAAACTTCATATGAGCAATCTTTCGCATAGCAGACACCAAACAAGTCGAAAAGCAATTAATTAAATCTCTCCATCAAAGGTGTCCCATACCCCGAGAATCCCTAGGTTGGAATGTAAACTGTTCCCCACCACTTGAGGATGACGCTATAGACCCATTGGCTGCATAGAAATAAAGTAAGATTTGCCAAGTGGATTATGACTGACATCAAGCGAGATATTCACTTCCATCATTTGACTCCTAGAATACTCAAAAGTACCATAAAAGTTTTAAGAAAATTAAAAAATCAATAAAAGAAACTCAATTGAGTATTTGAAGCATACCAGAACCATCTCCATTGCAGCCCTTCTGAGCTAAATCAGTATCAATCATCCCACAAGAACTCGACGGTGAGCTATAGCTGAAGCGTTTCCTCTTTTTGATAGGATACAGCCTTTCAGATCTGTCAAGTTTATAGTAGTTCTTCCCAGTATGATAAAAGGGCTTCAAATCCCCTTCTAGACACATAAGATACCTATTCATCAGTATCACTAGCAACCTGCATGGGCTAACTTGAAACCAGAAAACATGAAAAAGAACTAGCCCTCTTACGTCTGTTCGAAAAGCTTGTATCTTTCAATCTTGAGGCTACCTTCCAACATCTTGAAGCCAAGATTTTCTTGATTCTTCGGTCTCCAATGCGAGGAGTCCGTCTAAAAAACCTTTTCATGGTGCTAGGGTGAGTACACCCAGAAGAGTTTTCGTCATCATCTCTACTACTAACTATATTTACATTATCCCCATTTGCAGGACTAGAACAATGAGGAATATGGTGTGCACATAATGTACTGTCTGAGCTGAACATACCACCACATGTTCCATTTTCCAGCTTGTCAGACTTAAACAGCTCATCTTTTAGATTATCTTCAACTTTCCCATCTACTTTAGTTTCAATAGAATCATCAAAGTTCCCTGAGAAGCCTACTGCCATCTTGCTAGAAGAAAAAGTTCCCATGGCACTCTTATCTTCTCCATTCACTACCTTATCCCCATCGAGCTTCTCGTTGCCACCAGAGGTTGCTGTTCGAGAGGCTAAGCCTACATAATGATTATTGTCGTTGTAGAATTGTTCTTTATGACAATGATCTTCCTCGGGAATGTTATGGAGAATCCCAGATACAAAGACACTTCTGGCAGGACTTTCTTGATCTTGAACTTTTACTTCCGAAGTTTTTTCCTCAATTTCATGTACCTTGTTTACAGCAGATTCATCATTAGGCACTGCGTTACTGGATACGGGAGCAGTATCTTTCTCGAGCAACAACTTTCCCGCTATCACAGCCAACAAGTCAAACGCACACATCCGATTCTCTTGATACCGCTTCTTGAAGGGAACCCTCCTCTAAACAAGATAGATCGTATAATATCAGACAAGAGGGGGAAAACGAAAATAATGTGAAGTATCAGTAGTAGCACAGGGTACCAACAAATAATATTACCCTAGCTGATCTGGCAGCTCTGGGTATAGGAGGAAACTCGTAGCCATTGAATCCATAGTCTAACCTCCTCTTCAACACCATATCTCAGTGAAAGCGCCAAGAAAGATGCATTTCAAGATCCAATTGTTATCAAACTTGTGCAGCAGAGCCACCAATCAAAAAGCTCACAGAAAGCAAACAACAAGAACCTGAAAAACAAACAAATATATATCATCAAACGTTGATATAAGCCAATGTTCGTACAGCGGCAGAAATGAATTTAGAAAGGTTCAGCAAAACAGAAACTGGGGGAACTTCTTCTCCATCAAACGGAGCCCAGAAAGACAGGACATTAAATCGCCCTAAGCGACGTGACAACCACAAGGCACTCAAACTACTCAGAAGAATCGAAAATAACCTTCTGGGCAGTACTAGAAAACCATAATATTTCCATAAATTCATTGTTCTCACGTCCTGTCAGGGATCCAAAACTGGAAATGAGCAAAGCTTCAGGTAATTATTTGACACCATTGACTAGACATTTGCAGCACTCCCATCAGAATTACGGCCTCAGATCACATATGTATTGCCCACATTCTGTGTCATCCTCCCCTCTTTTGGCCCACGCAAAATCCCCACATAACAAAATCATAATCGGAGATCCGGACATGCAAACCACAACATACCCGAACCAGAATTCAGGAGGGCTTATGGATTCCATGTCTCTAGTGTCGACAGATCATCGCTAGATTCAACGAAATCATATATGACTTTCATGCAGAAAAGTTACAACTGGCACTTTTGGACCAGTTTGAGAAACTCCGACAAAACAGAGGAACCCAAAAAATAAAACTAAAACCACAGTAAAACCCTGAAGCAAAGATCGGCGTAGGAAGTTTTGATTTCTGAATAAATCTGCAAAATTTGGATGAAGGATCTGAAAACATCTCAATAAGGATAAACCTTAGGGACCCAGATATATAAAATGGAAGGGTTTTGGAGCAGAAGATAGAAACCTTGGTAGAAACTTGGCAAGTGAACTGAAAAACAAAAGTAGGATTCCCCGTAAGATTATCACTGAAAACGAGCTACCACCACCGAAAACGTCATCTCGCCCACAAAAATGAAGGGGAAAGAAAACAAAAAAACCCAGACCAAACACTAAAACCAGAGAGACAAAGAAACAAAGATACCGACGAGCATCACAAATCTCACCTGCTAGCTAGCAACCCAGAGAGAATTCTTCACCGTAATGCAAGCCCAGATCGAAATTCAGAAGCTTTTGTTTGCGTGATACAGTTATACAAAGAAAGAAAATAAAGAAAAAAATAAAACAGAAGAATTCCCCTTATTTCTGCAACACACACAAGCGCACCTCACGACACACTTCCTCTATCTCTAATCTTTATCCCCCTCGCAACAGTGAACTTCTCTCATTTTCTAACCCATAATTCTCTCTCTCTCTTTCCTCACTGCGGAATCGTTGTTTGAAACGCTACCTATATCTCCAACATTTTATGCTCTCTCTCCAGAAAAACAAGGGCAGGAAAACAATTTTAAAAGAACACAAAACGCCTCTCGCTCTCCCGTCCAGTCTCTCTCGGATTGCAAGCCAAAACCCTCCAAAAACCCAACCACCCAAACCCGTTTTTGCTTAAACCTTTTTGGCTATTAGTCTTATACCATTGACCCTCCGATACCGAACCTATCGGTAAGTGCCGGAGAAGGCACCGGGCATAGGCGGTCACACATAAAGTGAGTTGATCCTGTGGCTGTGTGTCGAATGATGGGTCGAGAAAAACGTTGGGTCTAAGGATTGGATAGGCGTTAGTAACATGTAACAATTTACGTTTACCCCGGTTTGGGATTTTCCCCCTGCTTTTTATAAATATTCTTACGTTTGGATGGATCAATATAGAAATGAATCAATTTGATCAATTGTTTCGTTTTATAAACGAGGCAATTAAAGCGAGTCAATTCGAATTACCTGCCCCCACCCTAGGTAATTGAAATTGACTCAAAACGAATCAATTCAAAATGCCTCAAGTAGATTGATCCATCCAAAAATTTTGCTGGCAAACGAGGCAATTTGGTACAATTCCTCATCCAAACGACCCTAATCTACACATATTTTCACCATATCGTTGATAACAAAAGCGATGTACATGTTGATCGCTTGAGAGGACAACGATTTAAGGCTAATCGCTTTATAGAAAAGCAATAAACCATTAATCGCTTCACCAAGAAGCAATCATGGTATTAATCGCTATATAATCGTTGTCGTCAAAAGTGACCAATGAAATCACTTTTAAGTAAATCGTTCAATAGTAAATCGTTGTTCTCAATCGCGATTTCATTTGAACACGAGATTAGGGTTGGTGCATGTTTTTTTCCACGAGGTTAGGGTTGGTGCAACGATTTTCAATTGACCACTTTTGTCACAAGCGACCATACTAAATCGTTTTTGTCTAAATCGATCAATATTTGGCACGAGTTTAGGGTTTGATGCAGCTACCTAGACTTGATAGCCTACGTCGGAAGCGATCTTGCATTGATCTCTTGAGTTTAAGGCGATATTGTCTTCATCTAAATTCAATATAAAAATACTACCCTATCATGCTAACTCACTCTCATTTCCCCTTCCCCCCCCCCCCCCCCCACCTTCATAGCAAAAACTCTCTTCTTCTCCACCGCACTTGCAGAAAATTTCACGACCACACCAGAAATCCATTCCCTTATCTTGACTACAAGTTACGTATGAATTTGTTTAGTATGGTAATATTTAACTAGTTTGTTTTTGCTTCACTAATGACGCATCGTGTTAATCATGCTAAATATCCAGATCAATGACGGATCCAGGGGGTGGCCACCCCGGGCCCCGGCCCAGCCCTCCTCTGGATCCATAGTTAGTATAGGCCTTATGAATTTTTCGATTTTTGATATTCGGGTCGTTGTTATTTTAAAATAAGATTTGGTATAATTAGAAAAATAATTCAGATGAACATATTCAAAATCACTACTCTAAATTTAGCTTATAAATTCTAACCCCAAAAGTTATTCGTCTAAAAAAACAATGAAATCTAAAAATTCAGAAAGTTTAAAACGTAAAAGACTAAAACATATATGAGGTTTGTTACCTTGAAAATTTACTAGAGCAGCGGGTGGATATAGGGATGGAAACACAATGCAAATTGATTAGTAGATTGATTTGTCTAGTGTTGATGTTGCTCGTTTCAACATCTAATACGAAGAGAACCTTTACAACAATGAAACATGTGAAAATTGATTTGCGCAACAAAATGAGCGATGAATTTTTAGTCGATTGCTCAAGTATTTTATTTGAAACAGTGTATACTATTGATATGGATGTGGACTCCATTATTAATGCATTCGCTAAATTAAATTACCGTTGTGTACAATTTACATTGTAAAAAGATTATAATCATGATATTCTTTTACTATTCTAATTTTCTAATAAAATGCGGCCCAGTGCACTTCTGTGTTCTGGATCCGCCGCTGATCCAGATTAAAGTTGAATGTATATGCCTTATGGTTTTGCATGTTGTATGTGATCATTATTTATTTTAAATTGCAGACATGAGTAGATTTCGAAAGTTCTAGTTTCTTATTTGGTTGAATGGTTGGGTGACAAAATCTCAAAATGGAATCGTTTATGAAGATGAGGAATCCAATAAGTTGAAGATTGAGACCAGATTCACATGGCAAGAACTATATGACATTGTGCAAACATGGTTTGTATTGTGGGGAAGACAAGAGTTTGTAAAATTACTTAACGATATCCAAACACCAGTGGAGGCGGTGTCACGTACGAAGGAGTTGTTATATCCGACGATGATGGGGTTAACATGATGGTGGACTTCCTAGCTGAAAACACGATCGGGTTTGCATAGGTGTATGTTGAGACCGAGGATGTCAGTCATGGTGGAGCCATTTACGAATATGATGGTGGTGAATCCTCTTATCGCCCTCGTTATTACGGTGATATTTTTCCCCACAAATGCACTAGTTTATAATAAAAAAATCTAAATACAATAGTTTTTATAAAATTCCTAAAAGCACATATTTTGCATGAGGGCACGAATGGGGTGGTTATTCAAGCAACTATGAAGGAGATAGTTATGCAGGCGGCGATGTGGGAGGTGTACCATGGGGCGATGCTGCTCCACATCGTGTTAATTCTATTGAGCCCGCCACATTTGTTGAGTCAGATGCCGTTCACTGGCCGACTTGGAGTCAAGAATGGTCTAACATTGAAAATACCATTCCGGCATCTAGGCGATATGCACAAAGTCGAGATGATGATGTTGGCGGTGATGGTCGCGAGCATCCCACTGACGAGATGTCGTGTTATCCTTTCAAAAGCGAAGAGGATAGTGAAGAAGATTTGGGATATGTGAGTGAGGAAGAGGATACATACAATGGGGTTGGAGTTTGGGACATGGGTGACATGTATGGCGTGACAAGGAAATAAGGTACAAGAAGGCATGCCAAGGAAATCAAAAGGACATGGTGACATGTATATTGATTGGGACGAGTCGTGGTTCAATAATATAAAAACTGAGGACCAAGTTCAGGTCCAAAATGAGTCGATGCTTCATTGATATTTTGATCATTCAGGCCATGCATTGATGGGTTTGATTTCTTCCTTCCAGTGATCTAAGTATATGGCACCTTCCTTTCTGGAAAGTACAAGGCAGCCTTCTTATTACCACTAGTGTTGATGGGAATGTGCAGATTTTTTCACTGGCATTTGCTCTATTCGAGGGGGGATAGTTTAAGTTGGGCTTAATTTTTCGAAGAGAAACATGACTACTTCACACAGCGAAAGGGCATTACGATCATTTCCGACTAGCACGTTGAGATTAGACATGTCGTGTATGGCTTTCCCGATGAATGGGGGGTGGACATGGCATTGGTTCATTCACCACTTTCTAGCCAATTATCAACACAAATATGGCAGGAAGAACGTCAAGAATCGCAGCGGAACACAAATGCAATAAACATATTTGCAAGGTCGAAGGTAAAAATACTTATTTAACACCATTAGGGTCATCTCGTAGTGGTTCGTTGGGAGCCAAATTATCTGTTGGGTAACACGGTGCGAACATAAAAAATGCTCCCATGCCCATAGTTGGAGGTTGAACATAGCACCAGTGGCTTCCTTTGTACCCAGCCTTGAGCATCCACATAGCTCTCGATACAACATAGCCAAAACAGTTGATCCCCAACTGTTTGCCTCGATAGCATCCCAAACACCGATGAGCAATGCGAGCCACATGCCATTTATCCACCTATTCGCCTTGTTCAAAAACAATAGTACTCCACCCACCAAGGCAATGAGATAAACGTGGGCATACTGATTCGGGTCTAATTGCATATGTTTTCACCTCATGTTCTTGTGGTGATTGAGGCATTTACATCACTTGATATTCGATTTTACGCTAGGTTGTGCATGTTTCCATCATGTTTCGGGTTCTAGCAGGTGATATTAGCCTTCAGAGCGAAAGGTGGGCGAAAGAGGATCGAAAGGAGCAAAAAGGGGAAGATCACGGTTCAAGCAACATTATCACGGCCAGTCGACTGTGAAGATAGAGACTAGACCGTGATGTTCGAGGAAACTAGAAGAGTTTTTATGACTCGTGGGCCTTAACGATATTTGGGTCACCCGACCGTGATAATCCAGCCAAGACCGTGCAGACCTTAAATAAAATAGTGCACTTTTGCCCGAGATCACGGTTTGAGCTTAAAAATTACGACTGTGATATTCGACCATGGTGAGCACTCGACCTTGTATAAAAGGAGGATGGAGCTGAAAATTGAAGAAGGGAGCCTAGGGAGAGATTGTCTTCTTCTTCTTCTTCTTCTTCTTCTTCTTCTTCTTCTTCAGATTTTAGAGAGAGAAAGTGACGAACCAAGAGAGAGTAAGAGATATAGGGTTTGCTCCAAGCTTGAGGATTGGAGATTTTCATCTTCCAAGGGTGATTTCTACAACAAGGAAGTCATACACCACACCATGGTTCTTCCTCTTCTCTTTGTTGTAATCCCTAGTTTAGCTATGGAGTAGTACTCTTTTTAACTTGGGTATTGTAAACCCTAGCTTTAGATATGTGATAGATTGTATGGATTGAATGTTATGCGTGTGGGTTTGTGTTCTATTCCAAATTGACCTAGGTGGAGAGAAACGCCCTAGTTTGCTAGAGGCTTTGAGAAGCTGGATTTCTTGGCCATTTGAGCCACCCACCTAGGGAAATTTAGGGCAAACCTCAAGTTTTGATTTAACACTTTGATTTGGTTGTTATTTTGCCGTTCACATTAAGTTTCGAGGGAGAAACCTTAGAAACCCATGGTTGAGCTGCCAAGAGAGCTAGTTCGCTAGATTCATTCATTGTTCCTTGTCCTATCACCCAAGAGAGTGAAGTGTCTTCACTATTTGCATCCTCCTTACGGTGTATGAACACATTCTTACACATTTGCATTCTATTCGGTCGAACTTGATATATAGAGAGGGAGAGCAATACGCGGGTGAATCTTTCTCATATAGATTCTAAAATCATTTACCTTCTTGCTTGTTTTAAATTTTAGTCTTTAGTTTTCATTAAAAGTCAATTGCTAGATAACGTTTTAAACGGTTGAAGTAAGAGTACATGGACCGGCCCAAGTTGATATTTTAAAACGCTTTCCCTATTCTGCACTCTACTAGAGTTTATACTTGGGCTCTAGTATAGATTTTATTGTGGTAGTTGGAATGAGTCACACACCGCTACATTTGATCTTATGTGGTGAATGCATCCAACTCAACCTCCCCCGGTATCGGATCAACGATTCAGTAGATTGATACTTAACCCACGTTCAATGGCTATTTACGTTGTCCCTCTATTGTCGTCGGCATGGCGAAGCCCAAACGCTTAAGGATAAGTGGCCCCCAACATGCTTTGGGAATAGTCGAGTTGCCGATGATTTCCTCTCCGGTGATCGAAAACCTAGTGAGGATGGCGACATCTAGTAGTGTGATCATCATTTCACCCTAAAAAAGTGGAAGGTATGTGTATCGGGACGTCACCTGTATGACATAGCTGTGAGTAGCTCATTGTCAATCTTCATCTTCACGAAGTATCTCACCCTTTCTAACCTTGCCCTTTCCAGATAGGGCACGAGTCGGGCGTGAAACAGGGGCAAGCACCCGGTCCCTCTATGGACGACGGGAACAAGTGAGTCCTACGAAAAAATTCATAAAGTAATTTTGATAGAAACGTTTTAAAATAACTAAAAACATTATTTTGAAGGTAGGGCAAGCCTGCCGGGTTGTTGTTCCAAATCGCATGGGAATAATGATTTGCTTGCTCAGTTAAATATTGTGCATCCCTCGGGCCAGGTTGGATATAGAATCTAGAATCGTAAATATCTGCCGCCATCTATCATTAAAATACAAGAAAAATAATATTATTAAATGTGTACACAAATCGTGAAAATACCAAAACAACCTTTAATCATGGTTATTCTACTAAGACATTGGTCTTATAGCGTTTCTCCATGATTCACGTTGATATATCACAAAAATATAAAATATATAACATACCCTAAGAGCCTCTTCGTCCAATTTTGCATATGTCGGGAGAGGTTCGACCGTGTTTTTAATCGAAGGTCAAAACACTTACCTAGCACCATAAGGGTCCTTTGTAGTGGTTCGTTGGGTGCCTAATTGTCTGCTGGGCAACGCGGTGCGAACATCAGAAGATGCTCTCATGCCCATAGTTGGAGGAGGAACATAACACCATTGTCTTGTTTTGTACCCATCATTGAGCATCCACCTAGCTGTCGATATAGCGTAGACAAAACAACTGATCCCTAGCTCTTCACCCCGATCGCATCCCAATAACCGAGGAGCAATGGGAGCCACATGCCATTTATTCACCTTGTTCAAAAATAGCACTCCACCCACCAAGGCGATGAGATAAACGCAGGAATACCGCTCCACTTGATCTTCTGTAGTGAATGAGTCCAACTCAACTCCCCTGTTATCTGATGAATGAGTCACGGGATTGATAGTTAACCCACGTCCAACGACGGTTTATGATGTCTCTCTATTGTTGTCGGCATGTCAAAGCCCAAATGCTCAAGGATCAGTGGCCCCCAACCTGCTTCGGGAGCAACTGTGTTGTTGAAGATGGCATCTTCGGTGATCGAAAACCTAGTGAGGATGACAACATCTCGTAGTATTATCGTCGTTTCCCCCTCGGGAAATGGAAGGTATGTGTCTTCGCACGCCACATGTCTGACATAGCTGTAGTAGCTCATTGTCAATCTCCATCTTTACAAAGTATCTCACCCTTTCCAACCCAACCTTTCTAGATATAGCGCGAGTCGGGCGTGAAACAGGGGCAAGCACCATGTCTCTCTATGGACGATAGGAACAAGTGACTCCTACGAAAATAATGCACAAAGTAAGTTCTATAGCTAGCGGTGGACAACGGGACGGGACTCGGTACCCCTCCCATTTGAAATGGGTACCTAGTCCCATTAGAGAGGAAACTTCATCCTCTGTCCCAAACCTATACGGCTTAACGGGTACACATTACTCGTACGGGAAAGATAATGGATACCCGCGGGTAACCCATAACTTGTACTAACAACTAGCATGAGTTTCCAAAATGTAAATGAAATACGATTGCAGGAGTTGAGAAATAAACATCGACCAACTGTAATGCCGCACTTGAAGATTGAACAAAGGGGCTTCAAGCATGGAGGGATCTTAAGGGGTTGGCGTCGAAGCTATATAATTTCAAACATGATGGTAAATCGCTGTTGATAGAAGGAAGAAGGCAAACCAGTGGCAAATTATCTCGTTCAAAGTCTGGATCTACCAATTTCAAATATGTCACTCTGGTAGCTTCTAATTGCAGCTCTTCGAGACTGGGATGTCCGTTTTTTTAAGAAAACCGTGCATGCTCATCAGGACATCACTCGCTTTAATGGAGTTATATGGTACTGGGTAAAGGATTTCATTTTTTCATTATTATGTGACATATTGCAGTGACATTCAATTTTTCCTTTTGCTGTCTAAAACTTAATTTTGCTCCATTGTCAACTTTTCATGTAGGCCCTGCATTAGTTACGACTAAGGATGCTGGAGATGGAATTACTTTGTTGCAGTCACTAGCCGGTTCGACATTTGATAGCAATCAAATTGCATTGGGAGGAAAGTACGGATACCCGTAATACCTAAACAGGTATTAACGGGTGAATCGTGTGTACTCATAGTAGAAATTCTTGATCTCATCCCGTAAAAACAATTACGGGTATTTGGTTTCTGTAACCCTAACAAAATGGGGAAAAAATCGAAAACTACCACCGTTTAAAAAAAATTACAAAAATACCACCCATTCCCAACAATTTCCAAAAATACCACCGTTTATTAAAAACCGCGCCTCTAATAGGCGGTTAATATATAAACCGCGCCTCCAGGCAGCGGTTTACATCATAACCGCCTTGCCAACATGCGGTTTTTAATTTCAGCTAAAACCGCTCCTCAAAGGCGCGGTTTATATACTAACCCTACCACAAAACGCTTCATGAGGAAGCGTTTAATTGTCGGCATGATAAACCGCCGCCTGGTGGGGAGGTTTACCATGTGCAGACATAAACCGCTGCCCCAAGGCGCGGTTTGTGCCTGGTCACCCGACATCAAACATGTCGGCATGCAGGGGGTGGGGCTGCATGGCAGACCTAAAACCGTCCCCCAACCCGCGGTTTGTGCTGCAAAATTCGCCTATAAAAGGCTGTTTCAGAGAACTCAAATTCTTCACACTCCTCCTCCTCCTTCTTCAAATTTCAGTTGTGCACCTTTAAATTATTTAGTTTTGCGATTAACGTTAATTCGTAAGTTTGTTTTATATTACTTTTCATTGTCCTTTGTGATTTTATGTTAGTAACTTAATTACTTTTCATTGTCATGTCCCCTTTTGTATTACTTTTCATTGTCCTTTGGGATTTTATGTTAGTAACTTAATTACAGTTTTATTGCAGATGGCATTCCAAAGGTTCACGCTTGGGTTGCAGTGGAATGGTTACACAGAAGAGACCGAAAAGGCTGTAAGTTATGTCGGTGGCAATTTTTATAAAATGAAGGTCCGTACGAGACCGATGCTTGAATAGCTCCATCAAATGTGCACTCAGATTACCTGCATGGATGGCACTAGAAGAGTTGATCAAATGGTGTATCGATATCCAAACAGACATGACGGGTCGCTGTGGAATGAGGAATTCCTCCTTACCACTCAGGAGGACGTTGATGCCATGGTCCAATTTTTGACCACCAATAAAATTAAGCAAACAGAGATGTTCGTTTACACCAAGGCCGTCGAAGGCGGTGTAGGTCATTCTGGAGATGGCCAAACATCTGGTATCCACGGTGGGAGTGTATTATACGAAGATCATCCCCACCAGGATTTACAAGACTCGAGCTGGAGGCAGGAGTATCATGATGGAACTGGAGGTCATCATTAATCCTTCCCTTCATATGAAGAAGAAGCTCAACAGGCGGATCACAACCAACAAGCAGGCGGATCACAACTTCTACCAAAGCGGTGTTAGTTACCACAACTACCATTACGGAGCTGGTGAAGGTGCCTTTCATGATGATAATCATATGGAAGAAGAGATCAATCCAAGTCCAGTTAGTGAGCCTGAGGTTGAAGAAGAGGAAGGCGAAGTTAGTGCAGATAGCTTCAATCCTCTGGAAGGTGCAAATGATTCCGGTCCAGATTCAGACGCAGATGGTGATGAGGTACCTCACGACCGTGTACCTATCCCATACTAGAATCACATTCAAAATGAAGATTGGTATGTTGATGCCGACATGGACCCGCTAGAGGTGCCAGTATGGGTCCACTCACTGGCTTTACGAAGGGCCAACAATTTGCAATGAAGAATGAGGTCCGACACGCTATTGCCACTGAAGCAATGACTCGGAGTTTTGAATGACAAATAACCCATTCCGACACAAAGAGGCTGATCAAACATGAAAAAATGAAAATGAAAATGAAAATGAGGGATGCAAAGCTAGGGTCCGGGCCATCAAGAGCAAGAGAGTCGGCCATTGGGTCATATCCCGTGCGGTGAACACACACACATGTGTGTCATCAATAACATCCCAAGACCATCGACAGTTGAAATCAAGGGTCGTTGCCGCGGCTATCAAACATCTAATTGAGGAGCAACCCAACCTGAAGGTGAAAACCATCATCACCGACATTTCTAGTCGTTATGGTTATATCATTAACTACAAGAAACCGTGGCATGGAAAACAGAAAGAAATGGCCGCCGTGTTTGGTGACTGGGAAGAATCATATGCATTCCTTCCCAAATTGATTTTGGCGTTGGAGGTGTCTAACCCTGGCACCATTTTCCCGCCTCGCTACCAAGATGAAGAAATTCAACCACCGGTGCCTGGTAACAATCGCCATTTCAAGCGTCTTTTCTGGGCATTCAAGCCATGTATTGATGGTTTTCCATACTATGTTCCTGTGATTCAAGTTGATGGAACATTCCTTACCATCAAGTACAAGGGTACTCTACTGATCGCCAACGGAGCAGATGCAAATAGAGCAGTATATCCATTAGCCTTTGCCATTGTGGAGGGAGAGAATATCGATAGCTATGGATGGTTCTTCAGACAAATTCAGCTCCATGTCACCAGGCGGACGAACCTAACTATCATCTCAGATCGCCACGCCGGTATACGGGCTGCTATCTTAGGCTTGGATCCAACCTGGAACTGGTCACAGAGATGGTGCATACGACATTTCAAGAGCAACTGGAACCATCATTTCAAGCGAAAGAAGCTTGCTGATAGTCTATGATGGATCGATAAGCGTTCTAATTAATTGTTATATATATTTTTTCAACTGGATAAAATGAGGACTAAATCAATACAATACAACAGTTATTTAGACTCTTTATAAAGTAATGCATGCCTAAGGAAATGGGGTTTTAAGCGATCATCATGATCCTCCCATTTCCTGGGAAAATCAGGTTCTAAGCAATCCTCGGATCCCCCCTTTTTCTGTCAAATAGGCTGTGTTTCTAAGGAGATGTATACCTCTCCTAAGAGTCTTACAAGTGTACTTGTATTGAGGGTAAGTTCGGTCTTGCTTACCTTACGTTTTTGTAAGATATTCATCAGCTGTCGCTTACCAAGAGAAGAAATTTAAAGAGAAGATGCAGAATATCCGTCAGCTATGCCCTGAAGGTGCGCAGTGGCTTGATCAACATGACCTTGAAATGTGGACGTTTCATAAGGACGGAGGTACCAGATGGGGTATTGCCACAACGAACTCAAGCGAGAGTATCAGCAACGTCTACAGGGAATGTCGTGCACTCCCCATCTCTGCAATTGTTGAGATGACATTCTGGAAAAAAAACGGATGGTTCGTCAACTGTCTCCACTGGTGTGAGAAGAGGGAGGCACATGGTAAGGTACACTCCGATCATGCCACAAAAATAATGGAAAAAGATAATCGGAAGAGCTCTCGTCACAAAGTCACTGTTATGAACCGAAATGCTGGCGAGTATTCGGTCGAGACTGGACACTGGGAGGATGGGAGACGTGGGGGTCATCGCCATGAAGTCACCGTCAACTTTAGGACTAAAAAGGGGGAGTGCTCTTGTCAGAAGTATCAGGGTAGAGGTATACCATGTTCCCATTCAATGGCTGTAATAAAGCACAGGAGCAAAGTCCCTCGTCATTTCGTCAGTCCGTTCTTCAACATCGACTCAAAAAAGAGCAGTTATCGTACTAGTTTCTATGCATTGCCGGATGAAGCTTACTTGCCAGTTTATGAGGGTATGATTATCATTCCACCAATCGGTCTTAGGCGGGAAACAGGGCGCCCGCGGGTAAAAAGGATTCCAAATGAGATGGATCAAAGTGGAAGACCACCGCGAGGGCCAAGACGGTGTTCCATATGTAAAGTACCCAGGCATGATAAACGAAAATGTCCCGGACCAATTGGTCCTCAAAATCCAGGGCCCGATGTGGTGAACCCGGATAATGGTGCATAGATTGATTTCATGCATTTCTTCCATCTTTGTGTATTAATTTCATGCATTTGTTCCATCTTTGTGCATTTGTTCAATGATAACTCTACTTGTATTTTGTGTGCTTAAATGACATTGGAGATTTGCACAATTAACAAACTTCGATGCAATGTTCCATCTTTTTGAATAAAACACATCACGAACACAAACACACTACATGATGAACTAAAAAATAACTTAAACTAAAAACAAATTGCTCAACTTAATTTAAATAAAACATAACTTGAAATAAACACAACTTGTAACACTCATGCATTATTTTGATGATTTGCCCTTTGTTTCCTTGTGCGATGGGCGACTAGTCCACCGGGTGTAGCTGAGGGTGGAACTGGTGGCATATTCCTATTCGTCGTAGAAGGGCGCTCGTCCGTGCTATGCCGCCTCGATGCCGTGGTAGGTGGCCCCTCCGTGTGCGGTCGATGACTATCCATTCTCATACGGTGGGGAGTGGACTGCCATTGTTGTTGCCATTGTTGTTGTGGTCGATGCAAAGGTGAGAAGTCTTGGTGGGGACTTGAGTATGAACCATCGACCCAAGTAGCTGAGGACATGGCGTCATGAAATGTACTTGGCCGTTGTTCATACTGGAAACTGGGTTGTGCTTACGCTTGATCACGCTCCGAACTTTCCTCCGTGAGGGGAATGCCTCCGAACTCAGGGTTGTGCTTACACTTGATCTCCGCTGTCAACCACGTGATGGATACTTGGCCCTTGGACAATGGTGGATGACCATCCGCACCGTGATCTCCCTTTTCTGGCGGACACAACCCGGTGACCGTCCATATAAAATGCTGCCAACCACTCATATTGGCAACAACTTTAGGTGGTGGCGTAGAGTCCACACAAATAACATCACCATCGATGGGAAAATTGGTTAGGATGGCGATGTCCTTAAGTGATGGTGCACTCGCCTTCACGAAAATTGAAGTAGTGTGTGTTCTTTCGCCATCTCTCTACCAATGTTGTGATGAGTTGGAGGTCGATCTTGATTCCATTAAAATGCCTAATCGAATCCAATCTTGCCCTTTTTAGAAAGGGCAAGATGACATCGTTCCATTCAAGCACGTTCGTCGTGCCCCCTATAGAGGACTATATGGTATGCATCCTAGAGAAGAATTTAACTTTCACTATAAGTTGTTGATTTATACATATATAAATATATTATAAGATGCAATATTAATTAAATCAAGGTTGTTTTAGAGAAATATAGATTATCTAATAAACATTAATTTTAACATAACTAAAATATATTATAAGATGCAATATTAATTAAATCAAGGTTGTTTTAGAGAAATATACATTATCTAATCAACATTAATTTTAAAATAACTAAAATAATTTTTGAAATTTAAGTATAATTATTTTTTGTACACATACACATAAAACCAAATATATTATTTTGTTAATCGTATTGATTATTTTCAATAATTTAAAGCAATACAAGTACACTCGTAAGACTCTTAGGAGAGGTATGCATCTCCTTAGAAACACAGTCTTTTTGACAGAAAAAGGGGGGATCCGAGGATCGCTTAGAACCCGATTTTCCCAGGTCATGGGGGGATCATGATGATCGCTTAAGTCCCCATTTCCTTAGACATGCATTTCTTTATAAAGAGTCTAAATAAGTGTTGTATTGTATTGATTTAAATTATAGAAAATAATCAATACTATTAACAATTAAGTAAATTATTGTACAAACAAATAAATTACTTTAACAAAATACAAATTTCAAGTGATGATAAATAATATGTACCTTGTGTTCGTTCCAAACGTCTCTTGAACGATGGATTGGCTTGATCGTATAAAATAGCCGGATCAATCGGTCCTTGATCAACATAATATCATTGATTGTAAATATCAATATCCGGCCCAACCTACGATAGCATAACAACAACATAAATCAATTAGTATATAAATTAAATAAATCATTATAACAACAACAACTGGATAAAATGAGTACGTACCGCTTGATAATCATCATAGTAAATGCCCTCTTCTTGGATAAAATCAGCCCTTTTTTCAGAGACCGGACAGAGATTCGACGGTTTTTTAGTGAAAACCAAAGAAAAAGTGTTTTGAAGGCAGATCAGACTTAGCCGCAACCAACAAAATAACTAATTCTAAGGTTTTTGGGTGGGGAGGGCGTGGATAGAGTGAGGAGTTAGAGAGAGAGGGGGGAATGGGTTTGGTGTGCAGAAAATGGGAGGGAGAAGGGGGTTTATATAGGGACGAAACCGCATGCTGGAGGGGCGGTTTTGTCTTTTTACCCCACCTAAAACCGCGCCTCCAGCGCGCGGTTTGTTTTCCCCAACAGTCAAACCTCGTTTCGGGGGAGCGGTTTGACTGAGCGACGCGGATCCCTGAGTTGGCGCGCGGTTTGGCCGTCAGATCGCTCCCCCATCACACGGTTGCATGTACCGCCACGTGGCAACGCGGTTTGACAGGCAGGAATGGTCAAACCGCGCGTTCCACAGGCGGTTTGTCTCTTAACCGCGCATTGGAGGCGCGTTTTGGTTTATAACCGCGCCTTCGAGGTGCGTTTTGTGTGGAAGGGTGGTATTTTTGAAAATTGTTGAGTATGATTGGTATTTTTGTAATTTTTTTTTAAAGTGGTAGTTTTGGATTTTTTCAACAAAATGGGACGAGTATGTGTATACCAAAATATCAGTTTCTCGTTGCCCATGTCTTTATACAACAACGTTTTAAAATAATTAAAAACATGATTTTGAAGGTAGGGCGTGTCTGCCGGGTTGTTGTTCCAATAACATGAGATCAATGATTTGCTTGCTCAGTTAAATACTGTGCATTTCTCAGGCCAGGTTGGATATATAATCGAGGATTGTAAATATCTGTCGCCATCTATCATTTATATAAAAGAAAATAACTTTATTGAATTTGTAAACAAATTGTGAAAATAACAAACAACATTTAATCATGGTTATTCTATTAAAACATTGGTCTTATAGTGTTCCTCTACGATTCACATTGATAAATCACAAAAATATAAAATATGAAGTACCTTAAGAGCCTTTTCGTCCATTTTTGGCAGAAGCCGAATGGAGGTTTGACTGTGTTTTTAGTTGAAGGTGTAAACACTTACATAGCACATTAAAGGTCATCTAATAGTGGTTCGTTGGGTGCCCAATTGTCTGATGGGCAACACGGTGCGAACATCGAAAGATGCTTTTATGCTCATAGTTGGAGGAGGAACATAGCACTACCGCCTTGTTTTATACCTTATCCCGGGACGTCTTGGACGAAGTCCACGCGAGAGCCGAAGCCGAACCCCCGATACATTGAGTAGTGACAGCCATTATTATTGTTATTTCTTTATTATTATTATTCCTGTAATAGGTTGGGAACTATTTAAGTTACTTTATGAAATGAGAACTACAACTTTAATCCTCCAAACAAACCCTAAGGCTTCTTTCTACGCCTAGCAGAAAACTTCTGAATTGAGAGTTTCGGTTCATCAATCTTATGGAAGAAATAAAGAAACAAATGGAAGAAATGGAAAGAAAATATCCACCTTAAATGTGGAACATGATAAAGTCTTTGAAGAAAAGAGGGAAGTAGAAGAAGTGTGTAAACTTGAGTACTCTCAAGAGGCAGTCTGATATGTTAAAGCTATTAGACGAAAAGTGTGGGCTTGACCCCTCTATCATGGAACAAGGCTGAGAGATTAATGCAACCGAAAAGAGGATCAAGATGTGTGAGGCCGCATATTTAGTCTCTCTGATCAAATGGAAACATGCCTCTCAAAGATCACTCTAGAACCACCTAATCATCACAAGGTCACAAACTTGGGAGAGGCAGTAAGGCCTATCATCGAAGTTGGTAAGGATGGTTCAACATTAAAGAAGTTATTAGAAGATGTAATAAGCATCAAGGATAAATAAGAAGCCCATGGAGAGCAGTTCATTAAGATGTATGGGAGATAGGGTTAAATCGTAAACCATGGTGTACAAGACCATCTAATAGTTATTTCAATAAGTGAAAAGGAAACCATGTCACCACTGTTTTCTAATGATACATCAACCAAGGAAAAGCATGAATAAAAAGAGCCTCTAGGGAGTCTATCCACAAAGCAAACTGGGATCAAAGCCACCACACAGACATGTTGAAAACCAGGCCAACATTGCACCCAACCAAGGAAATGAACATGATACTACCTATCTCCCTTCCTTAACGAAAGAACATAATGTAGTTAAACAGACCAAGGCACCCAAACGTTAGTTGCTCCACTTCTCGTGCTTTCTTTTCCTTCAGTCGAACTCCATTTCTGCTCAAGCCATTGAGCCCACCCCATGCAAAAGAGATCCATCCAATGAGCCCACATGAGGCTCATGCCCTCTTTGTGGACTCAGCCCATCTTCCTCTTGTAATCAACTAGCCATTTTCCTCTTTGGCCAAAGTCCAGGCCTTGCTCGACCCACTTTCTTCCAAGACTCAACCCATTATGCTGATCCTAATGGCCAACGTCCGTTGATTGCCTAAACCCGGCGACCCATATGGCTCGGCCCGATAAGGCAGCCAACAGCTGCATTGAATGAGTCAAGGGTGACACCCTAGGGTTTGCGAGGAGAGCGTCGTCTTCCTCCTTCGTCTTCATTGCCATCCACCACTTCTTCTTCACCGACTTGTTCTTTGATAGCCAGCAGATCTCCAAACGACCGAGGGGAGAACTCAACCCGACGACCTGCATCTTCAGCTCCGCCACTTTATCGGTGGACGGTTTGCTTGAGGAAGAAAAGACGCCTCCTATTGTCTCCATCGCCGGCAGTCGCTCCTTCTTTGTCTCCAGTGACACGTAAGGGAGTTCACAGCCTCCTCCTTTCCACCCGACGGCTACGAGGCCAGCCTAACCCCGACATTCTTCTCAGCCTTGCCTCTTCCTCGCTCATTGGTGCCCACAATGACTCATCTACCGGCGACGATGTGAGGATCACCGACTCGTTCCGTAACACTTGTGTTGCCGCTGCACCCTCAAATGCCACCGCCGTCGTCGCTCGATGCGGCCCAAAAATTTTCCTTAACCGCTCGGCCATCCTCTCTACCTCGAGGATGAGTCGGTCGAGGTCTTGCTGATTAGCATCCCAGGTAGAGAGTTGTGATGAACTCATAATCGAATAGGGCTATGATACCACTGCAAGAACCATAGATATTTAGGGTTTGAGAATAAGAATTAACAATTTCGAGAGTTACTTTTCATAACAATTTCCGATTACTTGTTTGATTAATTCTTTTCATAAATCCAAAATACATATTTACATATGAAATACATCCAAAAACCTTAATAATTAATAATTCGAATTTATACCTAATTGAGCCTTAATTGGCGGCCCAAACTCCTAAACCCTAATAATTCTTTGATAGAAATGGCTTATTAATAAAGTTTTGAGTTTCTGAAAGAGTAAAATTAGTTTACCCTTTATTTTTCTTACTATCTATGATACCATTTAAGAAATAGTTTTCATCATCGTTTTTGTGTTTTTGTTTAAGTAGTCAATATAAATTGAGTTAGATTTATGTGAAAATCATAATTTGTTCTTCTAAAGAGCATATGGAGTTTTTTAAGAAATGGCTTACTAAGGGTTGCTACAATCAGCTTGTTAGATGATACTAATGATGTTTGTGTTTTTAAGGATGGTAAGGGATGGTTGATAGTTGTTTTTTGGTCTCATAGATTAGGAGACCAAGCCTTACAAATAGCAAGCCAGAGGGAGAGTTTGAACAGAAAATTGTATGATCAAATGTTGTCTCGTTGTTTCATTGCAAGCTTAATCTCTTATATAGAACCGAAGGGTAGTTTGGAAGTTGAGATTTTTCAAATATGTGTATTTGATGAATACATCTATTGTAAATACAAAGATTGTAAGAATTAGATGATTGGAAGAATGTCTTGTTTGGTTGTAGCCATTCAAAAATTTTAAAGAAAAGAAAAAATCACTTTATGAGCTAAAAGTGAAACCAATTAAAGTCAACAATCTCAAAGGAAGAATCTCACCTTTTTGTTGAGATTTAAAATGAGTGATTGTGGGTGATATGAGATTTGAGGGCCCACCTCAAATGCATGTATTGAATAAAGTTTTGGAACAAAAAAACGATGGATTTTCCAGAATACATGAATTCAAAGAATCATTCATCTAGAATCATAACTTCCAAACAACCCCTGAATGTATTTGCAGTGATGTATTTCAGGTCTTGGATAAGCTATGCAGGCTTGGGAGCGAGTTTCACTTCAAAACTTCAAAAGCACTAAGTTGACGAAAGGAGGAGTTTAAGGACCAGAATCCCTGGTCAGCCATCAAAAACCCGGTCGGGGAAATGCCATCAAAGGCAGGGGAAGTCGTCCAGGGATTTCCTCCGGTCGGGACCCCCTAATCCCCTACCGGGAAATTAAGCCTGAGACTGGGTTTTGTCTCCTTCGATGACTTACCGCTGCACGCTGTTTTTGGAAAACCCGGCCTGTTCTTCAATACCCGACCGGGTAATCAGGCTGGGGGTTTGAAACTCGGGTTGTTTAGAGCCAAACACGAATTTTGACAAAGGCATCCGAGTTTGAGAGCCGAAAACAGAGTTTTAGAGAGAGAAAGTGACGAATCCATCCTCCAAGGTGACCTAGATCAAGTTTTGACACCATTGGAGCTTGATTGAAGCCTGGAGAATTACCGATTGACAACCAGAAGCTGAATTCTATCCTCCATGATGATTTCTGCATCTAAAGCTAATTTCCTCTCTCTCCCTCTCTATGGTGTAAACTCCATCTCTCACCTAGGCATGAATAGGGATGGGAACAAAACCCGAACCCACGGGTACCCTACCCGACCCAACCTGGTCAACGCGTATAAACCCGTGTTGACGGGTTTCGGGCCGGGTTTGGGTTTAAACCCGTTACACTTACACCGGGTTGGGTTTAGGTTTATGGATACCCAAACCATGGATACCCGCCCACACATATTTCGCCGCCTACTCTCTCCAAACCCTACCCTAATTCTAATTCCCCCCAATCTAATTTATAATTTGTATGGATAATTTGTGGTTTGTTTGAATTTTCTAGATTGGTGTTTTATTTATGGATAATTTGTATGGAGAAATTGATGTTTTACTTATATTTTGATAGGAACTTGTTATTATAAGTTTTTTACCACAAAAACCCATGGGTACCCATGAACCCGCGGATAACCAGTGGGTTGGGTTTGAGTTTTCCAAACCCATTGAATTTTACCCCGGTTTTTTTTATGTATAAACCCATGGGTTTGGGTTTGGCAAAACCCGACCCAACCCGACCCATTACCATCCCTAGGTATGAAGAACCCTAGATTTGTATGTTAGGCTTGATTGTATGAACCCAAGTACATTATCTTTTGATACCGATTATATTCAATTTAGGCATGATTTCAGAATTGCATGAGTCTTGATCACATTCTTGTAGTTTCTGTTTTGACCTAGAAAGAGAATTTCTGCATAGGTTGATAGAGTGATGACTTGATATATACACATGTTTTTGTCCACCATTCTTGTACCGTTTGAGTTTTATTTCTCGTGTTCTAGGCCGATTTCACGCTAGGTTGTTCTTGTTTATGATATTTCAGGTCCTAGTACGTGAATGAAGGTTTGGGAACGAGTTCAGGGTCGATTCGATGAAAATATGACATTTGGCGAGAAGCTGAGGAGTCCACACGGGCACACCTAAAATCCCACACGGCCGTGTGACTTGGCCGTGTGGCACCACTTTGCACGGGCAAGCCACACTGGCCGTGTAGGGGACCCCTTGTGGCCGTGTGGAAAGTCCAGGGAGCTCACACGGGCAACCTGGAAACCCACACGGCCGTGTGTCCCTGGCCGTGCAGCATGCCTGGAAGTCACTTAATCGAAACACGGTGTTTTGAGAGCCACACGGGCAGCTGGAATTTCCACACGGCCGCGTGGTCCGTAATTTCTGGGTTTTAACCCAATTTCGAGCCAAAGAATAGGGGATCGACTTTTTGGAGCAAAAATAGAGCCCTAGAGAGAGAAAGTGCGAAGAACACATCCTAGAAGTGATTTTGGAGCTAGGTTTCATAAATCGAGCTTGGAGATCATCATAGGACTGAAGATCATCATCCCAGAGCAGATTCTTCCCATTGTCATGTGTATGACTGCTTTGTATTCTGTTTCCCTCTCTCTCTCTCTCTCTCTATGGAGTAGAACTTTCTCTCACTTGGGTATGAAGAACCCTAGTTCCATGTGTTAGGAATCTTGATTGTAATTACGTTTGGATTGTGATATTGCTTGATTATAATCGATTGAAGTGTTTTGATTGAGTCAATTGAAGTATGATCATCTTTTATTGATATCTGCTGCAACCTGAGATAGATAGAATCTGATTAGGTTGTTAGAGCTTCTTCAATCGGTAGTAGTGAATCGATTATATAAGAGTTAGTCGATTCACTGCTTTGTACTGGAATCTAATTCCAGAAGTGGAGTTTTGTGCTTATTGCCTCAGCAGTCTATCCCGTTGAAGGTTAGTCGCCTGCCGGTTAGCCTGTCTGAGAGGGCTTGGTCAGCTTAAGAGATTCCAAGCTACTGTCGGATCTTTCGCAGTTTAATCAACAGTAAATCAACCCAAGGTAATTACAATTGAGACCTAACTAAGGGCTCATTCCCGAGTGACTCTTCCCTTGCTTTAGAAAACCGAATCATTTCCTGCTTTCTTACTGCTTTTACTTAAATCAACTATCACTCAACTTAGTTTTCTAGATAACAGATATACACGGAGTAAGCAGTAGATCTAGACCCCGGGTTGATAATTAGAACTTGTCACCTTACTGCATTTCCGGACGACGATTACACTTGGTCGTAGTTTGGTGTTGTGTTTTAGCGTGTCAAGTTTTTGGCGCCGTTGTCGAGGAACCTCTAGGTTATTGTAGAAAACGTGAAAGTCTGTTACTTTAGTTTTTTTCTTTTCTTTTCTTTTCCACCCTTGCTTTTCACTTGGGTGTTATGTTTTTGTTGGTGCAGATCTGAAACATGGATCCTCATGGCTTCTCCAACCATTGGGGGTATCAACCACCATCCGTGGGGTATTACCCCGAGACTTCCTTGAGCAATCAAGGAGGAGAAGACTATGGATTCGGATGTCAGTACCAACCCCCTACTACGGAGAACAACCAAACCCTTGGGAACCTCAAGAACAATATCCTTTTCAAGAAGAGTTCCTGCCACAACCAGAGGGGTCATCTGAGTTGGAGTTAGCCATGGAGGCCTTCACGGGCCACTCTGCAGAGCCATGCTACACTTCACTGGAAGATCCGAACAAACAATTAAGGCTTCTCGTGGAGCAGTTTTCTCGAGACACTGAGAGATCATGCTCCAAGATGGATCTTCAAATCCAAGCCCTTGCCCCTTCCGATTCCTCATTTCTCCATGAAATGGAGGAGACTGCTCAGTGCTCAGCGAAGCAAACAGAGTGGGTGGAGAAAGTTTGCTCACATCCTGCTCAAGCCTCAAGATCACCTTTCTGCTACCATGCTAGAGGAGGTGGAGGATGACAAAGGCTACAGGGACGTTGAGGAGCATACAGAAGTTATCACAGAGAACTCCCATGATAATCATGATCAGGAAAGTCCTCTGGTTACAGATCACACCTTTCCTCATTTCTGCTCTAACATGCTGGGCCCGAGTGAGGAGATGCAAGATGATCTCATTAAAGAAATTACATGGTGACTTGCTCTCCAATCTGTTCTAGAAGAAGAAGAGCGAGAAATGGTGAGGGAAGAAGTTGTGGAGGAT